GGGGAAATACTCTGGACCAGTCAGGTATCCTACAATCTCATGTGTTAACAAGGAACATGCTCGTGGGAGGAGAGAACTTAGAGATGACCTAATCAGCCTGCTACTGCTGTTTCACTGTTCAACCCTTAGGCTGGAGACAGATAGGTGACCTAGCTGGCTTGCTTAAAGGGTTATCAAACCCTCACTTTTTTGCATATATCTACTGCTAGCAAGCAGTAGATATATACAAAAACTTAAAAAAAACAAAAAACTTTTGAAACAGGTTTAAATTTACCTGTGTCTTCGCCGCAAGCTCCCGTCCGAACATCTGAAGAGTCTCGGGCGGCCGCAAAGGATCTGTGGGCGGGCGCATGCGCAGTTCAGATGTTCAGCCGGGAGACAATGACACAAGGTAAGTCTATGGAGCAGCGTGCACCCGCTCATACTCGATGGGACATGAGCGAAGAGGAGGACAGAGGAGTCAGCACTGGATCGCAAACCTGCACCAGCGCTGGAGGGATGAAAAGGACAGTAAAGAAGAAAATGATCAAATAAAGAGGCATGATTTAGGGTAAGTCCTGACACTAACATTGGGTGGGGGGAAAAAATATAGCCTTTAATGTCACTTTAACTTCAGAATAGAAAAGTCAGGTCACCAGGGTGGCTGTGCCATATAATGGGGCTGTGTAAATCTTAGGATTGGATAGACAGTAATATGAATCCTTTGACAAGTAAGACAGTCCCCCTATATGTATTTTAGTTGTGTATTTAGCTGTTTGCCTGGAGTTTTGCTCTAAGAAATAATAACTATATATAAAAATATATGGATGTGTTCCTAATTTTAGAGGAGGCAACCTATATAGTCATTCTAGTCTATATTTTACAATGAGCAAAGCGCATAATTCAACTTTTTGCTTTCCTCAGTCAGTTTGGGATTTTCTTCATGTTAGTATCCTCTCCTATGTTGTATAAATATGGATTGACTTTATTTCTGTACTTTTCAAATTGTCCTATTGGGTTACACAATAAACATTGTGAAAGCACCTTGTTTTATTCTTGTTATTTAAGTTATTCAACTCGTTCTTTATGAATTGATCAACTTAATCTGTGAGGATCATTTTTATTATTGTGGTGGAACCTCAGAATCATGGCTTCTGGTAGAGTGTTCTTCAGTAAAATGCCGTTGCCTATAACAGCCAATCAGAATGAATCTTTTAGGAAACCGACTTCAATAAACCAAAATCTAATTGCAGTGAACAAAAATGGATTGTGAAATCTCTTTTGGAATCCAAATCCACAAGTTGGGTGGTCTCTGTCTGTATCAGTACCCCATTTGTGTATCAGTGTCTCTAAGAGAAGCATATACAGAACTGTTTTACAAACATCCTGTTATTTGTTAAAACTCTAAATTGTTATGATGATTTTTAACAAGCAGACGTCCTCCACTAGGATACACTCTCTACTTGAAGGCCTGAATTCTGCACTGTGCTGATGAAGCAGTAAAAAAGTTCCAATCTATTTGTGAATGGGAAACTTCCTTTGGCTGCATTGAATACTTCTGGTTCTTATAATAAGTTAATCATAATGTACACGATGGGCTTCTTAGAAAAAAAATTATAATGTGAGTTCTGGTTGTCGCCACATCATGGATACCTTGAAACTGCATGTTCTATAACAGAGAGGAACACAGCAAACATTGATTTTCATAAAGTTGTAACTCCTAAAATGAGCTAAATTGGGCTGGGAAGGGACACACCATATCTTAAAGAGGAACCCCATGAACTTGAAAAGTTAACCCTTGCAGTGGGGTTGCCACCGCACTGCATGGGTTAAGTGCTTGTTTTTTCTAGGGAGCCAAAATAACAACACAGTGGCTTAGTGGTTAGCACCTCTGCCTTGCAGTACTGGGGGATCCAGGTTCAAATCCTGGTCAGGACACTATCTACAAGGAGTTTGTCTGTTCTCCCTGTGCTTGTGTGGGTTTCCCCCCGGGTATTGCAGTTTCCTCCCACACTCCAAAGACATGCTGGAAGGTTAATCGGCTCCTCTCTTAATTGGCTCTGTATGTGTGTCCAATAGAGACCTTACATTGTAAGCTCCTGATTTGAATTTGTAGTATGTAAAGCGGCGAGTAAAATCATCTGCGCTATATAAATACCTGTAATAAATAAATATACTCACCCAATGCTTGATCCCACCTGGCTGCTCAATTGCTCCCCGCAACCTCTTCTCCCCCTCAGATCCAGTAATCTAAGGATCCATGACGTCTTCACGTCTAATACAGTGTATTAAGCTGGGTAAACACATACCTGCAGGCTGAACAAAGAAAATATAACAGATTCCTCCATCAATGCTTATGTTTGTGGTTGGAGGAATTAATTGCTGTTCTGCAATGTAGTCTGACAGCAGGCGACACTGTCAAGATACTTGAACAGAGCTTGCAGCTCCGTTTGGCCGAAGATTTTTCAGCTTGCTCCTTCGATTAGCTAATCGAGCGATGCCACACAGAAGGGTGCCTACAGGGGCAGGCATGAAGACACCAAGGGACATACCAACCGGAGCGAGGCTGCAGGTCTAGTAGCCAGGTGGGATTGAGGATCGGGTGAATAAATCTTTATTTTTGCTCCCTAGACAAAATGAGCACTTATCTCTTGCAGTGCAGGGGTAGCCCCCACTGCAAGGGTTAACTTTCTAAATTCCTGAAGACCTTCTTATATAACAAAAAAGTTTTACCTTGATCTTTAAAATGCAGCTTTCGTTTTTTTTTTTTTTTTTTTTTTTTTTTTTGTTTTCTTTTAGATCTTTTAGAATTGTCAATTTCCCTTGTCAATGTAAAAAATAAAAACATTAATCTAAAACTAAAGATTGTGGTTTCATGTATTATTTCTGATTTTGTATATCAATTAGTCTCCAAGTTAAAGGGGCACTGTAATAGTTTTTGGGTCTATTTATTTATTCATTTATTTTCAAAGAAAGGTTTTGAAACTGTTTTATATTCTTCTCACTATTTCTATACAATTTTGTTTTACAAATAAACATTTGATATGTGATAAAGGACTATTAGAGTTCTATAGATTCCCTAAAGAGACAACAGATCAGTACCTGTCTGATTGAAACTGAGCCCCCCTTTAGGGAATGGGCCATTGCGATAAGTCAGTCTGGTGCTTGTAGCTTGAAAGCAATGAGCTTGAAAAGGAAAATGTATGAAAAATGGAAATGTTGTAAAGTTTAGCCAACTGGCTTAAAACAAGAATTCAAAATATTAAAGCTATAACTGATCCCTTTCATCTAACTATGACTAACAACTACATGGTAACTCTTCTCCCCCTAATCTAAACTTTCTGTCTGTGAACATACAAGGTAGAAGTTAAGTGCCTTAAAACATGGCTTCCAGTCTACTGGTCTAGGCCAGTGTTTCTCAATTTTTTTCAGTTGTGGCACTCTTTAAAAGCATGAAAAATCTCAAGGCACCCCAGTGTAACATGTAATGAATTTTAAGGGAGGACCCCACACAAAAACACAAGTGGGGTTCCCCTTTATATCAAAGTCCCCCTTAACATCAGAACCCCCCTTTTACATCAGAGCCCCCCCCCCTTTATATTAGAAGCCCCCATCACATGAGAGTCCTCAGTCACTCTTTATATCAGAGTCCTCAGTCACCCTTCATATCAGAGTCCTACCATCCCAAGATTTCAAGTCACCCCTGAGGATGCCAGAAGCCACTCCAGGGTGCCACGGCATACTGGTTGAGAAAGGCTGGTCTAGGAACAGGGACATTACTCAGCCTCCCTGTGGTTTCCTGGAAAATCTGAGGGTTTTTTTTGTATGTTTATAAAAATACATTTCAGATTGGGGGTAGGGGACTGTCATATATATATGCTGGAAATATTTAGGTGAAAGATCCTCTTTGATATGCAATATTTTTATATTCAAAGCTAAACCTATCCTACTATCCCAAGATTTCAAGGAACCCCTGAGGAAGCCAGAAGGCACTCCGGGGTTCCTGGTTGAGAAAGGCTGGTCTAGGCAACATTATGGAGCCTCCTTGTGGTTTCCTGGGAAATCTGGGTTTTTTTTTTGTATGTTTATCAAAATAAATTTCAGGTAGGGGGTAGGGGACTGCTGGATAGATGCTAGATATATTTAGGTGAAAGATCCTTTTTAATATGCAATATTCTTATATTAAAAGGTGAACTCCAGGGGCGGATACTAAATTGATATAAATGATTGCAGCACTATATACATTAATACATTGAAAAAAATTATTTTTGCTGGGAGAGAGAGAAGCAGCATAAGGAATCAATCAGTTATGCTGCAGTGCTCATGTGCCAACAAGGGACATGTTGATGGGGAGAGAGAGTGACAGAGACAAGCTCATCAGTATGCGCGTTCTTTCACTGTCCACTCACAGGTTGAGGGATGTAAAGGTCATACACTGTGTGAATTTAGACCGGTTCTTGATGAACCGGCTGAAATTCGTACTGTGGGTGCCGCTGTCGGCATCCTTTCAACCGACATCCCTTGATCAGCTGATCGAAGAAGATGGTCGGAAAATGTTCGTATGAATAGAGCCACAAGCCAGGGAGCTGACTGCTTTGTTTGGGTATTCTGACAGCGGCCAGCAGGTTAAACGAAGAAAAAGAACAGTGTATGGCCAGCTTCAGTGTTACTTAACTGCAGCAGAGAAAAAGTGGGTCTCCTGCCCTACCCGTCAAGGCTGTGCCGTGGGGCAGAGCTGTGTAAATCTCATGTCTGGATGGATATAAATATATACTGTATGCCTTTTGGCAGCTAAAACAGCTCGGATATAGTGTATCTGTGTATTTAGTTGTTTGACTGGAGTTCAGCTTTAAAATTAAAGAACAAATATTTTGTAGACACTAATGAACAAAGAAAGAAATGAAGTACAAAACACTTTACATGAATGTATATACATGATAAGAATATACAAAAAGTTCAGCAATCTATTTGATGTTTCTGATAATATGAATCATTATATTAAATTGTATTATGTTTTAAAGTTGCCCAGGTTCTTCGGAAGCTGCATTGCCCGTGGTTCCAGAAAGACCCGTCTCTAGTTTAGGTAAGATGTCTAAGTTTTGTTACTCTTTACTCTAAATGCTTGGTAGTAGATATATTGTGACTGGAACCAATGATGTTCATATGGGGGCAGGGATATTCAGTTGAAAGAACTCCAGGCAGAATTTGTTTTAAGCTTTGCAGTGGGGCTATCCCTGCACTGCAAGGATTAACTGCTTGTTTTGGTCTGGGGAGGAAAATAAAAAAGTTATACTCACCTGATCCTCCGAGCCAGCTTGCTCTTAGACCGGACTTCCAGCCTCTCTCCCCTTGGCAGTAGCTGTCTAAGGTCCCTGAGTCATCACGTTCAATACACTGTGTGTAGGACGTGCGGACAACTAGTGACATACTATTGCTGGAGAGGAGGAGGAGACAGGCTGGAGGGAGCACTGTCACAGCCGGCTGGCTCAGAGGATCAGGTGAGTATGACTTTGTTATTTTCCTCCCTAGACTAAAAGGAGCAGTTAACCCTTGCAGTGCGAGGGGTAGCCCCACTGCAAGGGTTAATAAAAATTCTGCCTGGAGTTCTACTTTAAAGGCTGGCTCTCTCCATAGATACAGTAGAGTGATAGAGTAGCGTGAGCGAGAGTAGCAACCCTAGGGCAGGAAGGGTGTTATTCTCAGAATTACCAAAAAGAATAAAAGGAAACAAGCTACATCTAAGGACTGTTAAGCTTGACAACATTAAATTGTTGTTGCTCGGTTTAGATACACATTAACTAACTAGTGATGTTGAACCCTAAATAGAGACTTTTCATTGTATGCATCTAGATTAGGGAGAGTTAAGCTGGGTATACAACCTGCGACCTGAACAAAGAAAATATAACAGATCTCTCCATTAACATTTATGAGCGTAGATAGAGGAAGCCGCTGTCAGAACACCCGAATGGAGCTTGCAGCTGATTGGCTGCTAGCTATGTCCGTCCGAGAACTTTCTATCCTGCTCCTTCATCCAGCTGATCAGGGGAAGTGTGACAACAGCGGCACCCAATGTGCAAATTTTGTCTGGCTCATCAAGTACCGGCCAAAATTCTTACCGTGTATAGTCTACTTTAGGAGGAGAAAAATTAAAGTAGAGGAAGAAGGTAAGTTTCGATATATGCAATCCAAAAGGGACAGATTTTGTTTTATTGTTTTGGGTTCACTTAAGAGAAAGATCATGATTTGTATATTTATTTAGATATTTACAGAAAACTGATGCTTTTTATGGGTTACCTAAGCTCAGACCCATACCATACTCCCACACTCAGGAAACCCTCTGATTGCTAACAGAAACATACTAAGTGTGGGTTCAAACCAGCTGCATGCTAAAACAGTCCAGTTTAGCGTGCAGCTGGTGAACTCTAGGTGGCATTGGTGTGTAACGGTGGTACATTGCTACATTGCAGTGCTATGTTTACTTGTTTTATTATTAGCAGTCTACGCTCCATTCGGGTCTCCGTGCAGCACGGCAGTATGTTGCGCTGTGGTATGGAGGCCTTTAGTACCATCCATTAGGCTGTGAAAAAATGCAGCATGTCTGCCTTTTTCCACACCACGCATTACACCAGCGTTGTGGTGTGAACGGGGTACATAAAAAAGCGATTATCTTCTGTGTGCCCTTGCAGTGACTGGCATTGATCCAGTGCAGATAAAGGCCGTCACTACAACTAGTATGACCATGCACTTAAAATTGAATTGTAGATGGACAATGCTTGTAAACTACTCATTTAGGGATCTATTTATGAATGTTTTCACATGGCTTTCACCCAAACTTCACTTGTTTTTCTGATTGGATTCATTTTAAAAATGTGTGTATCCTGTGTTAAGGTGTGAAAATATTTATAAATACATTTTAACTTACTATTTAGATGTGTTTTAGTCATTTTTTGTGTTCTATGTGGTTTCTTTTTTAGTATTGTGTTGTAGAAGAACGCTCATATGAAGCAGGGTGTTATGAAATATCTGAACAAACTGTTATTATTTCCTGTGTATTTACTTTACATGTTTTACTTTAGTAACAGCTGAAGAAATCAACCCTTACTGTGAAACCGTCTTCAACCGAATCTCTCACACTCAGGAACCAAAGGTAATAATTAGGTTGTCTTTTAAATGTTATCATTATTATTGCTAAGACAGACAGACAGACAGACAGACAGACAGACAGACAGACAGACAGACAGACAGATACCATACCTTCATTATTTAAAGAAGATTTCCAGGTTGTACAAAAATTAAGGGCTAAGTGCTCATTTTGTCTAAGGAGCGTAAATAAAGATCTACTTACCCAATCTTCGGTCTTAAATTAAATTTAAATTACAGTTCAGTTTCTCTTAAAGACAAACAAGTTTAAGTCATAAATGAATTGGTGCTCAATTGAGATTTTGTGTGTGCAGAAAAGGATCGTTTAGACAGGCAGTAGCAGCAATCAAGTGTAGACTTCAGCACTGTAAAAGTATTTTGCTGTCTCCTAAGATCACAATTTCTGTTATGTTCCTGGGCATCTTTCATCACATGGACCTCTAAACCTTTGCCAGCTACATTTTGTCAATTTTTCAGGGCTGCAACTTAAAAAAATAAATAAATGTTTTAAGAAATACTTTTTAATTACGCAGGATAACAAGAATGGCAAAATACGAACATGTTCCACCATGCCAATGTTTACACCTGGTGAGGAAAGATGTCATTCCTGGTAAGATGTGTTATTACTTGATTGCATGTCTATATGATATACCGTATATCTTTACAAGTAATGGACACTCTATTGCAATGCAATGCCTGGATGTACAGGTAGTGGAACACACTGAGGTGCCTGCTTATCTCTAATAAATAGTAGAGAACAATAGAGCATGATCTAAAATATCCCAGAATGCAAAAAGTCCTGTTTTAAATAAAAACCGAATTTATAAATAAAATATTGCTAATTGCCCCCTCATATCTCCATGGTCTAACTATACATAGACACAGACCTTCAGCCTAGTGTGATCATCCAGCATCTTCCTCTGCTTCTAGCCTAAGGGTCGCCCAATATTTTTGGTACAAAGCATAAGGTTCTGTCATAGAGTACCGTATACTGGAATACCTGCAGACAAGCAGATAGGCAGACACGGAAACACCTTTGGTAGTCTATGATAGTGTTAGCACATATGAAGTAGTAGGCGACCCACCACCTAGAACGAGGGTAAATTAAGGATCACAGACATGTATGATCTTAGGTCTGTGTTTATGATGATTTATGTCATGAGGTGGGTGGAGGGTGAATTTTGGGGGTATTTTATTTATAAAGCTAGCTTCATTTTAAGAAATCATGAAGTTTAAACTGGGTCTATTACGTTCTCTTAATAATTCTAAAGCTGCTTAATGATTATAATTTCTCTAATTTAGAGGCTGAATGAAAGAAATGTATAATTCCTTACCCATGCCAAACTGACAGCATGGGGTTCAATTATACATGCTGGACAGATACCATTCACGTGGCACTAGTGCCTCTAGATGGTGCTGACAAGGTTGTCATTGTTTTTCTTAACGAAAGCCATAGTGAGGACAAAGAAGGAAAGAAAGAAATTAAATTGCTCACCAGAGGTGTTGTAACCTCTTTGGTATAAGACCTTGTACATAGAAAGAAGTCCCATCATGGTCATGATGCCTCAAGTGGTCCAATAATAACCTATGATCTAAAGCTATATAAAAGCCACTCACAGTATATATAAAAGCCACTCACAGTTAACATACTACTGTGTTTCTGGTGTGTGAGAGCTAGTATAATATCAAGTAAGGTGTTCCTGCCTAAGCTTTAGAAAATCAGTGCACATTTATTGCTGCCCTTCTTAAACTGTCTGCCCACCAACTTGCAAAAAGATATGGGAGAGGCTTGTTACAGCAAGCATAAAAGAGGCAGCAAAACATTTAATTTTCAAAAGGTTTTATGTAGGGCTGCAACAACTAATCGACATAATCGATTATTGAAAAAGTTGTCAACTTTTTCAATCATCGATTAATCGGCTTCCAATGAGGGGATTAAATACATCTAGAGGTGAAAAAGAAAACCTTTCCAAACACAAGGGAAATATCAAGGATTAAAGAAGAAATCCAGGCAAAAATCAAAATCTGACAATATCTGTTATGCAGCTTATATATACAAATTAGTACTTTTTGTTGTAATCAGTTTTTTCATAATTATATGCATCTTCTACTTCCATAAATGAGTGTGTTGATTTATTATAGGAATTCTGGCGATGCACCAATGGAGAAGAAGAGTGAGGTTGAAGATGGGAAAGCACAGCGAATCACACAGATTGTGCACAATGACCAGGAAGGTTACGCCACTGTGGACTCTCCAGTGGATGACAAAAGGTTCAGCCTCCCCTCTCACCTGTACCCAGATGAAATAACAGAGGACATGACCATATCACCCTACGCTAGCTTCACTTCCATGTATGACAAGTCAAGGCCAGTGCTAGTTGGATGGCTGGATAAGCTGTCCCCACAAGGGTAGGTTACATTTCCAGTTTTTAATATTAGTTGTCATACGAATAATTCATCTATTAATATTTCATTTTTTTTACATTATAAAACATCCACTTTTTATTAAAGAAAGATTTTATCCAAGGAAGACAGACCAAAAAGCATGTAAAGTGTTAATAAAAGAATATGCTGAGGAAAGTAAAATAATTATTTTAATAACATGATGGAAATTCTAAAATAATGAGAAGACACATATAAAATATTGCATTGGATATGTCACATTAATTACTTCCAGACAGCAGGTAGGGTTCTAGGCTCTATTACACATTTTTACCAGGCTTATCTTGAAGTGAATTATTATCTAAGTTTTATCTTGGTAAGTGCATGCTTGGTACATAATGTGTAAGTATAACACTTACAGGGATTTACAACCTCTCAAATACAGCACTTCCCCTGGCAATGCCTTCATCTGCTTTTATGTCCAAAAGGATGATTTCATCTTTGTTCATCCAGGGTCAATATTTATTTCCAGGACTAAGATGGCAGCTCAGAGGTGATGTAAATCCTGATGCCTGATTTGTTCTCCTTTGTTCATTGCTTTTTTCACAGATATCTGGCATAGCTTAGCCCCTGCTTCCACCTTTCACAGTATGATTAGCCACAACATTCCAATGTTGTAGTCTCATCCCTGAGAGAGAGGAGACTAAAGGTAGCCATACACTAGTAGATTTTCGGTCAGAAAATTTTGTATATGCCATGAACTCCCATTTGATTATAGCTGAAATACCCCATCAAGCGTAGACAAATTTTGATTTTGGAAATAGTTTGTTAGCCATACCAACCAACCAATTTTTGATGAACGACGGAAATCATTTCCTTTTGCTCATGTGCTGTGCTCTTGCTGAGATTTTTGACGAAAAAATTAATGGATTATCATTCAGTCAGAAAATGTTTTTCCAACCGGACCGATCACAATATCAAAAATTAAAATCATACCATACCTTAAACTGTTTCAATATCGTTCAAAAGACCGTTCTAGCACTATTTCCGTAAAAAAAACGCACAATGTATGGCCACCTTTAGAAAATGCTTCCTCCTACTTTAGCAGTCTGGCCACATTATCTCAGCCTAGGCAAAGTAACTCTGAGGCTCAAGAACTGTTTTTAATGACAGAATGTTTAATATGGACTTGTGTCTCTTTCAACCGGACTAACTATGTAACATGTGATTTACATGAATTTTTACATGAATTTTACACAGGATGTATGATCCCGAAAAATGCATTAAAACATATTTTAAAAACATATCCAAAAATTAATGAATTATGAGACACAAGCTTGCAAACCATCCGTATAAGAATAATGAGTGTCTTCTACTATTTCTTGCAGGAACTATGTTTTCCAGAGAAGATTTGTAAAATTTGATGGAAATAATCTGATGTATTTCAGTAGTGATAAGGTAAGCAGTTCATTTGATGTTTCATTTTGATGTGAACTTTCACATGCAGGAATAAAAGGAAGGATGGCTCTCTAGGTATTAGGCGTAGCATTGCAATATAAATAATATGATGCAAATCAGGGGCTGTGCCTTGTTTGTAAAGGGGCATGGCTTTAAAAGCAGGTGTGGCTACTCTTCCATGAATTTCACAAATTGATGCACTTATTGCACAGTTCTGTGTATGTTTCAAGTAGTACCACTGTAGCTCCAGCTGCTTTGTTGTAAACATAAATTGTCCCTCTTCATTCTTCATCTTCTTTAGCATTAGTATGATATGATACTAAACAGCTTCCCTTCCAAGCTTTAAGAACTCCAGTTTAGTATATTTCATCTGAAATCCATGCAGTGTCTTTTTTTTTGCTCGGTTCTTTTTAAGTTCCCACAGACATCAATGTATGGCACCTGAACCACTGTCATAATGAACCTCATATAAACAGAATCCAACATTCCTTACTGTCCTATACAAATGCCTATATTCCTTTTCATAGGAAAATAAGGATCTTCATAAGCACACCTAGAACTAGGATAATTTTGTCCTTTATTTACGTAAAGTTGATGTTTTGGGACCTCGCGGGATTTCTTTCCCAAGGCAGAAAGGGATCCAGCGAGGTCACAAAATGTCGGCTTTTGATGCCCGTTGCTGTCCTTATTTTCCAATGATTACATGGTGTCTGCATCCACCAATTCAATACAGTGCCCAGCAAGCCAGTGAGGTGTGCAATGGCTACAATACAAACTTTCTGTGTATTCTTTTTTCATTCATGTTTTCCCTTCTTTCTTTAACCTTGCCTCTTCTGTTTCCCATTGCCATGCCATAGGAACTGGAAATAAGGTAACTTTATGGGACTATCACTGGTATTAAAATACTAATTTTTGTCCAGACTAGCAATTCTAAGCAGTAAACTTGATGCTTTTCTATGTGCATAGTCTACATGTGTTCCTTTAATTCAGCTATGTGAGCAGGAGTTCAACCAAATTATGGTGGAGTTAAGATATTTTTAAAAAAGGGAGGATGTGGTGCTGGTGGACACCCTGCTGTGATGCAATAGCAGACACCCAAAATGTCTTTACTTTCATTTTCCATTTGAATGCCCTTGGATAAACAAATCCTGGGGCATTCTGCTATGCAGCTTTGCTCCCATTCTCCGGGACATCAGCCTGGCTCTGCTCACTCTCAGCTACTCAGTAACAAAATTAAAGAAAGGTGCAGGCACTTGGAAGTGCCCGTTATTCCCCTACAGCAGCCCTTTGGTAAGGTGCCTCTAACAGATTTGCTTCAGTGTAGATTGGGGCAGAGCCACTTTTATGGAAAGATCCCTTATTAAATCAATGACAATCAGAAGTTAGTGTATGTGTTTTATTTAATAACAAATTATTGCTGGGAATGGTCCCTCCACAAGAGAAGACAAACCAAATAATATTTCTAAGTAATATATAGTGAAATAAAAGATGGATCAGAAGACCTATAAACATTGGTGTTCAGAGAGAAATGAACAGAGAAATTGAAGAAATTCAGTTGTGTTGCATATAGAATAGAGTGTACCATCAGGAGATGTTTTACTAACGTATTAGTCTTTGTTTGAGTAAATAATTGTATAATTGAACAAAAATAATCTGTAAATTGGTGCATTCAAAGTATATGTAAACCCTAACAATAAACTACTTGTTTGCTTACTTTTGGCCTGTTAAAGAAAAACTTTACCCATATCTTTAAAATAACAACAAAGGCACCATTAGAAATGTTTAGTAATGACAATCTACAAACACACACTTAGATAATTGCAGGCTTTTCATTCTTTACATACCTTATTTCTCTTTTCTTTCCCAGTCTTCTAAAATTGGCAATTTTTACTTAGGGCAGATTAATCTTCCCTTCACTTACTGGAACTCTGGCACATGTGATTAGTACATGTGACCATGCACGTCATCTGAGGGGAGGAAAATGCCTTTCCCTGAGATCCCATGAGATTACAGATGAGATTTCCCAGCAGTGCTCTGCTGATGTAACCTTCCCAGTTATATATGTAAATAAAAACGTGTTTGTTAAACTAATGAATGTAAGTTGGTTTTATATCAACATGCAGAGCTGCATGCTGATGTGATTTTTAGTGATGGGGGTCCACTTTAAATATATACTATTGAAAGAGTACAAAAAAACCTGAAGATAATGCCACAAATCAGTTGTTGTCCTCTGCACTCTGTAGTGTTATATTAAACAATGTTATAAGGATGTGTGTTAGGACTACAGAGTACCTTATGGAGAAAAAAAGGTGTTCTGTAGTTCTAACACACTTTACATCCTAGGCTGTTCCTTCATAGATAGAGTACAGTGAATGAGCATTGTCACCTTAGGACAGAAAGTGTTTTCCTGACAAGTGAAAATAAGGGAAAAAACCCCAGAAAAAAATAAAGCTAATGTAGCCACCACATCTAAGGTCTCTAATATCTTGCATTTTTGTTCTTGGGTCTAGGTACATTTTAAATAATTTTTTGAATTGTATTGTGATTGCAATGTCTTCCTTATATTGTAAAGTGCTGTGCAAACTGTTGGCACTATATAAATTCTGTATAATAATAATAATAATAAAGGTATTAAATATGTTTAATCTATTACATTAACTGCCATTTGAATTGCTGGTCACTAGCCAAAAAGAAAAAAAGACTTTCAAGACTCCGACTTTTGGGGTAAAATATGTTGGCTAGGTTGGATTATTGGTATTGTGACATATACTATTCTATAAAAGTGTGCTGGTGGTGGGAAGAAAGTGTGAATTTTCTCTTACCATTGACAGCTGTCCTAAATCCTTGGCTAGTTTTTGATATAAGGAGAAAGCAATATTGACTCTTTTCTTTCCTATTTTAGGACATATATTCTAAAGGTGTGATACCCCTGGCCTCCATTGAAATGGCCCGCTCAACAAAGGAAAACAAATTTGAAGTGGTCACCAAACACAGGATTTTTGTCTTCCGAGCTGAGAGTGAAGGTATGCCTAAGTATTTTTAAGATGTGCCCAATGTATACATCATCATCACTTTTTTTTTGCTAGCATAATTATTTTGCAGAGTTTGGGCTCTCAACACAAAGTTTCCATATGTCTGTGTAGGTGTACTCTAAGTTTTCAGAAAACATACTCATATGCTTCAACCAAAACAAGCTCCAGTGGGTGTGTGTATCTGTATAACTGTTGTCAGAATGAGGGGACAGCTGCTTTGTACAGGGTTATTTGCATTGCTCTTTGTAATATATAAACCTCATATAATTGCCAAAAATAATACTTTAACCCCTTCATGACTGAGGCCTTTTTTTCATTTTTTGTACCCATGTTATATTCCACATTTTAGGCCTGAAAATTACTTAAAACCCCCCAACATTATATATTTTCTGAATGCCAAGACCCTATAGAATAAAATGGTGGTAGTTGCAAATTTTTATGTTGCGCAATATTAGACTATCACCAGACGATTCAAAAGCTCTGAGACTGTTGCTTGATGCCACTATCTTGAATGTGATGTAGTAGAGTTAGAGTTGTTATTCAAGTGACACACTATAGTATTCCTCTTTGCTGTCTTCTTGGCTGTTACATGGAGGTTAGGGGGTGGAGCTGGTTCAGCTCAGACAGTAATTAGAAACTCGCAGAAGGAGAGTAAGGGGGAAGGGGACTGTGCAAGGGAATTTACACTTTTTGGATTGTCAGTTCTCTACAAATTCAGATGCACATTGCAAGTCATTAAATATTCTTTATGGAAGGGAAACATTTTGCACTTAAGCATTTAAAATCCTAGACTTTTCTGTGGTTTTATCTACAATTTTTTTTAAGTTGGTGACAGGATCTCTTTAAATTTGGGTATAAAGCTCATAGATAAGACTGGAAAAATATTTACCTGTTTCAGTAGAAAGCATGGCCATAAATAGCCCAATCCTGCTCCCAATTCAACATTTGGAACCTCTTCCCTCTTCACCATTTTAAAGTAAACCTGTAGGGTAAAGGGTCAAGTTAATTTGTCCCCCCCCCCCACATAAGCACATATACACATTTACTTAGCTAACCCACCCTTCATTCCGCTAGCCACTTCCCTTCCTCTCATGTGCCACTGTTGGTAATTTGCCTGGTACTGTCACATGGGGTCATGGAGGGAGTCCTTAGTCTTGTGTAAGCTCAAACTATAGCAGCTGAGGGTCTAAACATGCCTTTTTTTCTCACTCTGGGGAAGTTGACATTAAAGTGAAGTGAATTAAAAAGCAGTGGGATTAACAGCAAAAGAAAAAAGAAAAACTGAAGCCGTGAGCAGGTAGCCTATATTTATTACTGTATATGCTTTTTTAAGGCTTAACTTTTATTTTGACTGGAGTGTACCTTTAATAGCCAATGACACAAGATATCTTGAACTTCAGTAATTGTCTTCTGAAATCTTCCAGCAATAGATCACAGTGACTTCCTGCTTCCTGACTTTTACTAGCAGTAAAGTAGGACTTCCTGTTCTACAGAGCAGGATGTCTGGATGTCATTCAAATAAATGTTTCTCCTTAGTGTAAGAAGATGACATGGTATTGTTGCAGGATAACAATTGATTTGTCCCCAATATCCTATTTCTGAAACATTTGTTTTAACTTTGCCAAATATAGTCATATGCAGAGAAAAGTAAAGCTTCCTTTTATAGAGCCATATCATCCTGTATACTTATTCAAGTGGAACCTAATGCATAGATCCCCCAGGGCTTTTGCCATAATGTGCAAGTATGACACATTTACCTCCCAAAGCACCCTCCTTCATTGATGCAGCATGCACACTCTACCTACACTTGCTGACATATTCCCCTAGTCTTCTTCCTGGTCCAAAATCATTACTCATCTTGATTGATCAGCCTCAGATGACTTCATCCTGGCTCCCACACGGACTGAGATTGAGCTGTTATTGCAGAAGAGACATACAGAGTCACTTCTGCAATAAAATCCTAACTGCCAACAATTTTTTGATGTAAGCCTTTGCTTTAACATATGGTTTTATTTGTGACTATTACAGGGCATCTTGGCATTGTCTCTACTGAAACCTCTCTCTCTCGATCTCTATCTCTCTCTCCCGATCTCTCTCTCTCTCTCTCTCGATCCAGTACCACAACATCTTCCAGCAATTTAATAATTTAAATTGCTGGAAGATTTTTGATTGCTGGAAGATTGCTGGAAAATGTAATAACATGCATGTACTTTTCCACAATTGATCCTACACTGTGCTTACTTAACCTCTTGCCGTCCGCCCGTTAAGAAAAAAACGGACGGACGGCTGACTCCTATCTGCGGGTTGCCGTCACCAGACGGCATTTTTTCCTGCTCGCGCGCGCCCCCGGGCAGGAAAGACCCGCTTGTTACTACAGCCGTTAACGGCTGTTTCACATACAACCGATCAGCGGCTCTATAGCGGATGTCAACTGGTTAACATGGGTAGCTTTCCTGAACTTCCTGTCCAGTACAAAATCACAAGGGACAGAGCAGACTCCACCAACTGTTCATCTACTGGCACGGGGAAAGGAGGAGGGAGAAGGGAGGAGAGGGGCCCAGGGGGGAGGGAAAAAGCTTGATTTGCTGTGTCTGTGTGTTTGTGGAGACTCTGCTTGATAAAGGAGTCACTCTAAAACAGGAAGTCATGACCAGTGCTCAGGAGACCAGCTCATTCTCCAGGAAACTAAAACTTTTATAAAGCAGCATCCATTGTAAGTGATTTCATTCGAATTTGAAATAGCTTAAAATCCTTTTGACTTTAATTTCACTTTAAGCACATCTATAACTAGATAACATTTTGTTGTCAACTGAAAGCAAGAATGGTTTTATAAATGATTTAACTTCTGCCAATATGTGAATTCCTTAGCTCAAAGAAGTGAATGGTGCTCAACGATCCAAAACAAGGTGAAAGAACAGCGCATGTTTAATCCTCGCTCACGCTCAAGCTGTCTTCTCTTCGGTCAGAGGTTCGGCTATCTGGAGCTCAAAGGTTATAAGTCAAAAATCTATGCTGTTCTTACTACGGATCAATTATGGATTCATAAGAATGAACAGGTAAGAAAAACAAGATTAGCTTCTCTCTTAAAGTATTTCTTAAGCCAAAACGTTTTACTTTTTGTTTCAGGTAGAGTAGGGAATGGTTAATACCCCTTTCAGAACCAGTAACCTTGATCACCGGGACAAACAGACAGGGTTGATCTCCCCAGCAGGGCATCAATAAAAACATAATCCTACCCCACTTTCTTGAAAATTAAGCAAAAACGGCTTTAGTTAAATTTTTTTCTTTCAAAATCTTTTATTCATTTTCAACAAAAAAACCTTGGATCCAGGGCTTCAAGTTGGTCAATCTTCCCGCCCTTCATTCTATTGCCCTATGCTATTGGGTACTAAGAGTAACATACGACTCTCTAATGTACAGTTCTACCCCTAGGATACTATAAATTACATTCATCATAGGAGAGTATCCCCTTCTGTGGAGGCTCAATACATATAGTGCCCTACCGGGCCCTCTCACGCCAAAATAGCAGAGGGTGGCAAGGCTCCTCTGCCAGTCCTATACCATAGGGGCGAGAGAGGGCCGGCCGACCTGCCCCCCGGGGAGCTGTTGAGGCCAGAGGGCCCAATTTTAGGAGCATCGGGTAACAGTCCCAACTGGTAAAACAAGGTTTCTCCTTCCGGATACGAAGATATATTATATGATTGATTTCTTAAGGAGAATAATAAGCGAAAGGGATATGCCCATCTATATCTGATCCCTTTAGCAATTAACACCTGAAGCAATGGCTTCAGATTGCGCCTTTTTTGAATCGTAGTTGGCGAGATATCTGAAAAAATCTGGACTGAGTGTCCCAATATGGTAAGTCCCGACTGATCCCTGGTGCTTTGCATAACTTGCTCCTTGATGCTAAAGAAGTGCGGTTTTACAAGGACATCCCTAGGGTGGCCATCTGATCTCTGATAAAGGTTGATACAGCCCCCTTAAGATCTGTGACTGATTCAGGGAGTCCCCTTATACGGAAGTTCTGACGCCGTGATCTGTTTTCCATATCGTCAATTTTAGAAATAGCTTCATCTAGTTGCTGTTGAATATCTAGGATATGCCTCGTATTCTGATTGGCCCGCTCCACTGTTTTATCCAGTTTAAGTTCTAGTGCCTCTATACGAGTGCCCAAATCTCTTATATCAGTACATATGTCAGATGTAATTTGTTTAGCCACTCTACTTAAGCCCTGTTCCAGCATGTCTGAGAATTTAGCTATTAGATCGATATTTCCATGTGTCCCAGATCGATCTACATCAGTCAGCTGTATCCGGACTAGAAGGGTTGGATACCTGCTGTGCCAATAATATGTCCTCCATCGTCCTCTCTATCAAGGAGGAGGTGGATGCCGGCGAGTGGGCCCTGCGGGACCCCGTACTCACGTACTCACTGCGCCCAGGAGAGGTGAGCCTGGCCCGGCTCCTATACTGCCGAAGTCAGATGTATTCGAGCGACTGCCGGTTTCCGCCACCATCTTCCTGGCAGTGCCGCCCCCTGTCCTCGAGCCCAGCGAGGGTTTAGCATCCTTGCGTTTTGATGTCCCGCCCGCCATCCGGCTTCCTTCCGCTTCAATGATCGCCGCCCGTGGGTAGGGGAAATCCCGCTGCTTCGTGCTGCTGAGGGGGTAGGTCAGACCCGTCTAGGCGCCGAGCTCAGGACTCAGACTTCCTCCTTCGAGCTCCGCGCATGCGCCATTCGCTTTAGTTAAATTTTAGCGTCAACTTGCAATCACAACTAAGTAATATTTGTGTCACTACCATGTCCTGCGTGATGGGTTTATCCTCTTTATGTTTTTACTTGTTCAACCCGAGGAATCTCACCTGCTGGCTATTGTACTGTGACAACTGACACCCGCAGATATCAGAATACCCTCACAGTACCTGCAGCTGATTGGCTGCAATAACTGTTTGGCTAAAATTTTTCCTATCTTCGCCTTTAATTGTCAAATCAAAGATTTTTGAGATGGGTGGTGCCGACAGGGCCACTCATGGTTGGAATGTTGGCTGAATCATAGAAACCGTGTGTGGCCAGCTTAACCTGTTTAGTGACTTTGTCTCCTGAGAAGGGTTTGCTCTATAGACATTAGACAAAAGATATGAAGATTGTCATGTGATATTGGGCTTAATAAGAGCCTTAGCTTTGAAAATAAAATATTAGCAAACAAATGAAATCATACATTTTGTTCACTCCACCTTTAAACAGATTATGTAACGACTGTGACATCTTATTTTTGTTTCTTGGTAACAAAAAAGGAAGTTAGTGTTTCCTTTTCACAGATAAAACTGAAGTGACAGTAGGGTGAGTGGGGCTAAACGGTACTGAGAAACTCATAGATCTTTGAGTACAATGACTACAAAGTAAATATTTAGACTTCTATCTATTCAGACCTACAGAAAAGTTTCTGTAAAGATTTGGGTGCATTTGCAGATGTGGTACCTGGTTTTATCACCCTCTTTGCGCTACAGCATAATTGTGTAGCAAAGTAAGGGCAGAGTAAAGTTATAACTCCTGATGTACATACTTTTTCCAGGTTGGTAACTGAGCACAAAAAAGCATACAGCTAGGCACTGATCATCTGCAGACAGAGGTCAGTGGCATCATATGTACATGACAGGGTTCCTTTAAAGTGAACCTTGCACTAAAAAAAACAAGGTACCACTATTTAATAGCCCCACGCCCACATGTAACGCTATAAAAATAAATAAAACAAAGAAAAAGTAATAACGGTAGAAAAAGATACTTACTTAGGACGCCGGATACTTACCTTAGACGCCGGGCTTCCAACCTACTACATAGGAACTGGTATCAACAGTCAGCCTTAGCGCAGCCTCTTCGGAAAACCATGGTTCCCCCAAGAATGTGCTCCTACACAGAAATGCATTCTCATGAGATTTGGGATCTTGGTGCATTTAGGAGGCAACTTCAGAATATTGTTGGAAGCAACATTACAAATAAAATTAAAAATGAAATAGAGGAAAATAAGACAATTTGATGTAAGGTCTAGTATTTTTAAAGCTGAACGGCTAGAAAACGGCTAAATACACCATCTAAGCCCTGCCAGACAGCACAGCATGGAGGTTGATACCACTTTCTCAATGAAAGTTAGTCTAGAAGTGATACATTGCTGTCCTCTCTCCACCATTCAGCTTGGTGACTGCACAGTAAGGCCTGGTTCACACCTGGGCGTTTTACAGCGCGTTCCTACGCTCTGTAAAACGCTCAACATGTGAAAACCAATGATTGCCTATGGGCATGGTTCCCACCTGGGCGTTTTACAGCGCGTAGGAACGCTCTGCAAAACGCGCTGCAAAACACGCTGCAAAACGCGCTGCAAAACGCCCTACGCCCATCGAAGTACAGGAGCTTCTTTGGGGTGTATTTGCCACGCGTATCCCTTGCTATACAGCCAGGTAGCCCTCAGAAACGCGTGTTTGTCGCGCTTTTTTCTTTTACCGCGTATCGCGGTAGAAACGCGGCACAAAAAGCGCGACAAACGCGCATATTTGATACGCCTAGTTGTGAACCCAGCCTGAGGCCCCGTTCACACTGAGCGATTTATCGCGCGGTAATTCCCGTGATATCACGGCTATTTACCGCACGATATCGCTCTCCAATGCATGGCAATGAGGCTCTGTCTGTCGCGGGTCGTGCGTCGCTACAGCAGAACCCTTTTTGGAGCAGATTTTGCCGCGATTCTAGCTTGCTCAATGTAAGCATTTGCACGGTATTGCGCGACAAACGCGTGATATCGCGCAAAATGCAAATCGCGCGACAGACGCACAATTTGCGAATCGTTCAGTGTGAATGGGGCCTAAAGAGTGATAAAGGAATTTTGTGTATCAATTTGCTTTCTTCTCTTATCAACATGTTCCTTGTCAGCACATTTGCATGCAGAATACCTAATTTGGCTCCCAGTCCTGCCCCTCCTGGGCTGAGTGCTGCTATAGATGTTTGCAAGATATAATATAATATAAAGTTAAATTCAGGTACTACTTACCACTAGTTGCATTTAAAAATACTTGTATCATTTATTAATGAATGCATAGTTGCATTAAATTGTGTATTTAATCTTCCTGGAGGTCAGTTTTAATGTGTATAAAAGTAAACAGTAAATCATTTTCTTTGTCTTTCATTGAGAGTCACATGATTCAGAGACTATTAGGTTATGTTGCCACCTACAGGAGGATTTTGACACTGGCCAACACAAATCTGACCTGCCTGGTATAACCTCTCCCACTCTCAGGACACCTTTTTGCAAGTGTTCTTTGGAGATGGGTGTCTTTTCTGTACTGAGAAAAGTGTATCTGTTTTTGCTAGCCATTTTCCTATATTATTCTCTTCAACCAAGACTTCATCTACAAGGTACTTGAGATGGACATAACTTATGCAGGACATAAGTTCAGAGGCTTGTAATAAACCATCACAGCTAAAGCACAAGGCTGCATGCGTTTGCTCCATAATGCCGGGACCTACCCCAGCAGTGGAAGTATTCTCTCTCTAAGAAGTTTCATCTATTCTCACATGCTATTACAGATCAGAGTAGACAACATAGGGATCTGACTATATTACACTGGTCAGAAATAATATCTGTTTGTGTATTTTATTGCAATTTTTTGTATTTTGTATATTTTTTGTATTATTGTTATTATGGCAATTGTGTCTGATATCATTTGATTGTGGTTTTAAATCAGGCATGTAATGATTATCATTCCTCCTTGTAGTTTTACAAAATGGGAATGGGGATGTTTGTGATCGATATGAATGGCTCTACTATCCGAGACGCAAAGAACAAGACATTTGAATTGATCACGCCACATAAAACCTTCAGGTAAATAAATTCACTCTCATTCATATCTGTGATCAAACTTGCACGATTATTGTGATTCCCATGGAAAGGCAAGTTAGCTGATAAAAAAATAGGAGAAAGTGTAAAATGTTTAAGGTGCCCAAACGCATTACAGTCCTATCATTTAATCGATCCCAGCATTCAATATCCTTATCAAATTGACCTTTGTGTTTTAGCAAAGGTATCCTAACAATAACTAGTTTAAAACTAGAGGTCTTGTTTGCAGAAATTTGGAAATATATCTGAAGCCACACCAAAATGTCAAGATACCTGAAAAAATATACGTTTTGGATAGAGTGAGAAAGGAATAGAACCCCTATTGGGTTTTTAGGTACTCAGTCAGAGCATTCTCTATTCATTTACTGCTCCAGTGACAACAGTATCACTAGAAAGGAAGTGAGAGAAAATCCGTAATGGATACAGAAAATAAAAAGCTGACTGGGGTTATAGCATTCCCTCCTCTTCTTAAACAAAGTTGCTATTGCCAACCTGACATTGGTTCCAATCTTACCCCACTCTATCCAAAATTGAATATTTTCTGTTACAATAAGCCATTGTTTTCCAGTTTCACTGCAGAGTCAGAGAGGGAGAAGAAGGAATGGATGGAAGCCCTGTTGGAATGTATATCTGAGTCCCTGTCAGACTATGAGGTCGCTGAGAAGATCTGGTCAAACAAAGCCAACAAGTCATGTGCAGACTGCCGAACCTGCAGCCCAGACTGGGCCTCCATTAACCTGTGTGTAATCATATGCAAGCAGTGTGCGGGTGAGTTTTAGTAATCAAATAATACACTTTTTTTGTATTGTTTCGTTAGTTATGTAGTTTTGCCTAAATGTCACTTAAAGCGAAGCTCCTGTTTTGCAAAGGCCAGTTACAAACACTAGAAGGGGTTGAATAAACTTTGTTTTATTGCTGTACTTAATATTATTTTGTAGATCTTAAGATAAGATATTCCGGTGCATGTGCTGACATTTTGCATCTTAAGTGTTTAGTGGGAGGTTCTGCCTTTACTACATGTTTGTATGGCACTAGCATCTACGGTAAATGTGTCGTGCAAACAGCATCCAACTGGCTATACACCAGGCGGAACTTTATAAATGAATGCCCAAGTGTTGTAATATGGGACATTTCAGCTATAGCATCTTTTTAGAAAAAAAGATTTAGAACTCTGTGTCGGTGTTCCACAACAAATGAAACTCAGTGCAGTAAACATAAGGACACGCCAGAAGTACTACAGTCACCAAGGAATATATTGGTAGCACTTGAACATCTACTTATTCTTGCAGTTGTCAAATAAGTTAATCATGTGACAGCAGGGCAGTGGCCAAAGTGTATAACATAATACAGATACAAGTCAGGAACTTGAGTTAAATTTATGTAAAGCCAAAACCGTTGAAGTTAGTTTTGAATAGATGAGTTAGAACCTCTACTATGTTTTTATTGTTGTCATACCCCTGCTAGGGAGATTTATCCTCTCTGCTTGTCCTGGTGGCCTCTGTCTCATGTGAACTTTAATGTTTACATCAAACACAAGAATTCAGGAAAAAATATGATCTCAGTGATTATGACCATGGTTATATTGTTGGTTATGTGTTTAGACGAAGCATTGAGATCTTGAGGAATGCTGAGTTAGGTTTTACTTGCTTAGGAGAAGATTACATCATACAGAAAGAACTTCCTGTGTATCATAGACAAACATACATAGGCATAGAGACTAACATTGCACTACAGCACCATCTGCAGCTCAAAAGACATAATTACACAAGTAATGCAATCATACATATCAGCATTTGCTGGTGTATTTCCAACAGGTATAATTGTTGGTGCCAGACAGGTTAGTTTGAGTATTTCTTTAACTGCTGATCTCCTGATATTTTCAAGCACAAGTCTCTAGAGTTTAATCAAAAAAATCCAGTGAGTGGCAGTTCTGTAGACAGAGATATATATTTGAGGAATATAGAAGGAGAATGGCAAGGTTGGTTCAAGCTGACAGAAAGATTATGATAACTCAGATAACCACTCATTACAACTGTAGTTAGCAGAAAACATTTCAGAATGCACGACCTGGCAAACATTGAGGTGGATGGGTTACAACAGAAGAGCACGTCAGGTTCCCCGCCTGTCACTCAAGAGCATCGGGCACAAAACTGGAATGTCGAAGGCTGGAAAAATGTAACCTGGTCAGATAAATTGTGATTTCTGTTGAGGCACACAGATGGTAGGCCAGTCACCAGATCTGATCCAAAAGGATGCAAAGGAGATTCACATCATCAATGTGCAGTTGACAATTCTGGAGAAATTGCATAATGCATTCATATTCCTTTGGACCAGAATCTCAGACATTTTTGTGAAATGTGGGATAGAATTAAGGTTGTTTTGAGAGCGAAGGGAGGCCTGACCTAGTATTATGTTCCTAATAAATCGTCCATTGAGTGTGCATTCCAAACTTCAACTCCGTAGCTCCACTTAAAGTTCTATTCAGATTCCTAGGAGAGGTAGTGAACCAATTACCAGATGAGGGTGATTAGGCTAGAGAGAAATCTTGACTATGAATTGTTCACTGTTGCTATAGTAAGTTATGGTTCATTTTGTTTTGGAAAGGAAACAATTTGACTAGCATACATATCTTTGTTGTACAGGTCAGCACAGGAGCTTGGGAACGAACATCTCCAAAGTGCAGAGTCTGAAACTAGACACAAGCATCTGGAGCAATGAGATTGTACAGGTATGGCTAATCTTTGTCTGTCCGTTCATTTATATTTACTGTTGTTAAATAGTTATGCTTTGTGGATCTTCTCTGACATTCCTACTTTACTTGTGTGTGCCAGGCACCATAGAGATGAGGTCATTGTCTACTGCCAGGCCTACAACTACTAGTACATGCATTAGAGAAATGTACTTTGTTGGAACATAGGAAAGTGGATGCAACATATCCAAAATGACAGTGTTTGTGCCTGAATTTTTTGTTAGAGTGGAAAGAATTTTGCACCAGTAGCAATAATACAAACAACTGCAATTGAGGTTTACTATACAGGTGCTTATACACATTAGAATTCAGTCTTGTGAGAGTCTCAGTTTGGGGTAACGTTCCAGTGTCTATGCAACAACAAGAATGAATGAGTGTTTTTGGAGTAGAAGCACCTATGTGACCCATATGTGACCCATATGTGACTCACAAATCCATGTATGACTTGTGTTTTATGGTATCATTGGGCACCTTAAGACAAAAGCAGGCCATAGCCATCACAGCATGGTGTTTGCTCTATGTTGCAATGTCTTACTGTCCAGCTTCCGTTATACTTAGGACATACTGGTTGCATGATTGCTCATGTTTAGTCTTTGCCGGAGGGAAGCACTGCTAACGTGGTTCAGATACTCCCATTGATGACTTATAACAGTAGAGGCAATAGTGAAGAGAGAATAACTAACCGAAAATGATATTATCACTTACAGCTATTTATTATCCTGGGTAATGATCGAGCAAACCGGTTCTGGGCTGCACGGCTTCCACCATCAGAGGCACTTCATCCGGAAGACAGTATTGAACAAAGACGAGACTTTATAGCACACAAGTACAGAGATGGGAAATATAGAGGTCCTCACCCCAGCCACAGCACACAAGAGGACATTCTCAAGGTAAAATACACTGTAAATGTCAAGCATGATTGTTGGAAAGACTATATCTGCCAAATTTTCATTAGTATGTATGAAATGCACATGAAAACAATGCTTTTTTCAACTTTTTATTTATGATACATCACAGGTGAACTAAGGTAACGAAGATGTACAATCATACACTTACTGTAAATGCACATTGTAAAGAAGACATCATCCTGGTAATACAATAAAAACGGTAGCAAGTTGAACCTGGGTTTAAAAAATACTCATATTGTTAAAGGAAGGGTATGAAAAGTGAGGTCAGCTTATTAATTCCTGCAGGAGAAATGTTAAGGTGAAGGCTAATCATCCCTTCTATTACTGTCACTAACCTGATTATCTAGCCCCAGACAGCTATCATTGAGTTGAGGGGGGTTTCAGCTCCTGGGATAAGTGTTGGATATTGCCTGTCAGTGACAGCCGGTTGTTCCAGGCCACATGCTAGGACCCGCAGGAGCCGCTGGGTCTGGGTGCCATTTTAAGGAGGCATTGGGATGAACAGCTGCTGTTCCTGTGCCATTTTAAAATGGCACCTGAAACCCAAGTAGTTACAGGGAAGGTGTTTCTTGTGAGAGGAGTAGGGAAAGGGATGTGCTTCAGAAACATTTGAAGGTAAACCTATGAAGCACTGCAGCTGTATCATCCCGATGCATTTGTTTCAAATTAGAGTAATTGATTCACATGCAGTGAATGTTTGGTAAACTTCACATTCACTGCTTTATAAAAATGCCCCTAGGAGTAATTAGTTAGATGTAGGAAAGAGAAAACAAGGTCGGAGTCGGAACAAAGCATAAAAAGAAGATCTAGAGTGAAAAAAGAAAGAAAAGCATTTTTTACTTTGCAATAGAATCAATTTTGTTGGTGGGTACTTTTTAAAGAGCACCCAGAATAAAGTAAAAGATCAAAATGCAGAAGGGCCAAAAGATGTTATTAATTTCCAAGCTGAATCCTCCATAGATTTTTTTTCCTCTTGCAGTGGAAAACTTGGGCCTCGTTTACATCAGATGTGGCTTCATTCTTTTTTGCTGCATTTTTCAGTGCGGGCAAAACGTATGGACATACATCCATTGCTTTCAATACAGGCTGCTCATACCAGCAGGTTGATCTGTGATGTGCTGGAATGGAAGATGCGTTGGCCTGTGTTTTATCATTCAAGCCAATTTAGAAGGAGTTTTCCAAAATGTCAACACAACATACATGTATATGAATACATGCGCACCAAGATAACCCATGGTATCACATGCATAACAATGTTTTTTTCGTGTAATTGCTGATTCACAAGGATAATTATGTTTTTCAGGTGCTCTCTGGTGCTGTTTCAGGACCAAACTTGCTAAAGACAGTCATGCAGTTCTTCCTCGATGCTGAATCTGTAGCCGAGCCATTTGACAGCCCTACTCTCTCTGCCTACTCAGCGGACAACTGGAGGGCAAGCTCATACAGCCTCAACAGTAATCACATAACTTCCGTATTTCTACTTTTAACAAACAGAAATGTAAAATACTTAAAAATCTGCTGCACCAAAAATTGATCTTGACCAATCAATTAAGCTGCATGTCCCCCCTCTGATGTTGCTTTATGTAAGAAAACATGCCTCCTGAGACTCAGTCTTTATGGAGTATTGTATGGCTTACTTCATTGATTAAATACTGAGATAACTAACTCACCAAGAAGGCACAGAAGTAGAATCTAAAGTAGTTAAATGCAGCTTGAGACATACAAAGAATATTTTCTTTTTTATTTGCATGTACAAATATTATCACTGTCTGTGCTTTCTGATCCTTTAGCTTTTCTAGAGCTACACTAGAGGTCACCATTCAATCTAACTGTACAATCTTTGCACATTAAAATTTAGATTTGACCTACCTAATCTATCCAAACAATCTCTATCCAGTCAGGTAGGTCCTTGCATGGCATAGTTGTTGGTAGATCTAAAGGTGATTGTACAATCAGAATGTAACGTGTGTGGTGAGCACAGTAGACGGCCAGCATGGTAGGGCTTGTAGTGGTAAGCTAGGACTCAGCTAACAATTAAATCTTACAATTAAACAAGGATAGCTGGTAACAGAGGAGCATAAAAAGTCAATTTTATAAAACTTTAAAGCGGGCTGCTTGTGTCAGCACAATGCGATTCCAGGACAGCTAAGCATTAATCTTTAGTAAAGATCAGATTCTTATGTCGCTGGCCTGTGAGTGCTCAATATACATTTAGTTATGGTCCATTAGAGGGAGATGGTAGAGTATTTTCTAAATCCAGCTTTGTGTTTGTATTCTGTGGCTATTTTGTAGTCTACAGTATGTAGTTACTTGCTGGCTGGGCACTTGAATGATTTTTTTGTGTTCTGTTACTATATTCTATTATAATTCCTAAGTGGTGTTGGTTACCATTCTTGTGGGAGTGATGAATATCCTTAACATTAAGCTGTTGATTTCCAAAGGAAACTGTGACCTCATATTAGAGCCATGAGTAACAGAGATAAACTGACTGACTCATTTATGTTACTGAAATCTAGTTAATTTATTCAACGAAAAGTAATAAAAATACTAGTCTTCTTTGGTTCACATAAAAATGTTTTAGTTTATCATAGAAAAACAGTAAATGTTTTTATACGAGTTATTGAGCTATGATGCCACTGTACATTTGATTGTATCTCCAGAAATCTTACACACCTTAACAGCAACTTAGCAAATACATTCAGGTTGTCTAATGATTATCAGTAGTTAAAATGTATGTTCAGGCAAACAGCTTTTTATTATTCCCTGTGACATTCTCACCATGTTTGCAAAACTCTTGCAGGGGCAGCTGCTAGGAGTTCAGTTCCTGTTGATATTGGCCCTCCCCCAAAACTACTCCTCACAAGAGCCTCATCCCTACACACCGTGTGTAGGCAGGGTCCTGAGAGTCACAGTAGCAGCATTGTTTTCCTTGGGAATAAATCAATGTTGAGTATGTGGAGTGAGAGAGAGAGGGGCAAGGGATAGTTAGTTCTTTAGTCCAACAGGCAGAGCTGACAACACTAGATTTCAGTACAGAAAAGTCACTGTGTTAGCTCACACAGGATGTTAGGAGCACCCTGGATTTCTTGCTGAACACCAAGTATTTTTCTCAATTGCAGCACGTGGTACTGAATGTGTTCTTATTATACTATCCAGATATAAATAGCCTGCCCAGACAGACATCATTCTGGTACATATTCACTAAGCACCAGCTATAGGGAATAACGGCCATCTCTGTCTTGCAAAGTATCACTTGTAGTGCCAAGCACCAGAATGCATTCCCAGCTCTGGTTTTGCCAATGCAATGCAAACTACCAATTTTTAGAAAACTTAAGAAATATATCTAGTTGGCGCTTTGGGAGCCAGAAGTGCAAAATTAAATGTATAGCAGCCCTTTGCCAAAATTATTAATTGATTTATATAATAGCGTTCATAGACGTATGCATTCCGAAGCTAAACAGAAGATTAATTTATTTAAAATGAAGGTGGAATAGCAGGAGTGAACTGTTCCAAATCACCTAACTTGATGTTTATTTATTTAATAGAAACAAAAAGTCATTGATGCTGGATTTACACCGAAGGGTTAAAAAAGGCTGCTTATCAGCTGTTTTGATGTGGTGTAAAAAGATTGGACCCTTTGTCAGGTTTTTACTGAAACCCCCACTAGGAAGATTTAACCTATTTCATATTCCAGTGGCTTATGTCAACAAGCAGGACAACTTAAAAGTCATATTGGACAGACTAACCGTTGAAAGAATACAGGGTAGAGTCCTTTTATGGCATAGTAGAGCTTGAAACACAAGGTACCCCACACATCTATACAGCAGGAGTATAGGAAAGTCTGTTATTAGCAATCTCAGAGAAAAGGCATATTGCCAGCCTACAATAAATCATCTTGATGTGTTTCCTGCCCCTATAAGGCAAATCAGCTGTGGTTATAAATTCCCCTAAAGTTTAATTCCACTGCAAACAAGAGCTCATTGTAGCAGACCACGTGCTGTCCAGGGGGAGGGGGGTTAATGGCATGTGATGTGCATGAATACACTATAGCACTGACTGCACTCAATCTGATTCATAAAAATGAATCACATTGTCCTCAAAAGCAGTAAGGAATAACTCACCAGTGGTTTTTAATTGATATTGTTTTGTTAAAAAGAATGAATGCAAAACAGGGTTAACTCTTAAACAAGGAAATAAGAGGAAATCAACAAATCTGTATGAAATGCTGCCATAAAAACATAGTTTTAGTATATAAATTCTTCCTAAAGGTAACAAGAGGAGGAGACTAAACAAACAACTTTAGTACTAATAAAACAACCTTAGTAATCTCTCTCAACACCAATATGGTCCATTTTCTCCCTCTCCTCCAGAGTTTGCAGGCTTCTACCCAGCCTTCTAATACCTAGAGGGGTATACAATCCAATATCAATTCCAGTCAACCTTATCTCCTATAACTAGCCTTCTATCTATTCCAAATTGCATCCCGGCATGAATAGACATAATTTAACAAACACTTGAAGACACTCCACCCCCTATTGGATAGAGGTAGAAGAGTCATGTCTCATTCACAATATCTCTCTAAGCATAACTCCCCACCCACTGAATTGAACCCCAATTAGGCTAGACAAAACCCACAATTTAGATGAAAAAAAAAAATTCTAATATTTTTTTTTATGTACTACTTAAATAAACTTTGTTATTTTAAGAATTCTGAACGTTATTGACTGGTATACATGAACAAAATCCATCCTGCACCTGCACCTTTTAATGTCTGAATGAGGGTGCACAACCTATGACAATACCATGTAAATCCAAAAACTAAAATGGCCAGTGCTCCAAGGGTTATACATTTCAAGTCTTGACTGAGGTCTAGACTTGATCCTATGATCCACTTTATATTTGTGACTTTTGGCACCTTAAGAAGCAGAGCCATGGTGTCTCAGAAACATAAGCGTTTTCCATGTTTTTTTTTAAACTGTGCTATGCTATTTTGGCCCTTAAGACATTGGTAAAGATATGAGGCCTATAACATTTGGTGTGCTGGCCATTTGTGTTTTTGGTATGAAGGCCAGACATCCAAAGGTGTACTTGCAACAGTTTTTAATTTCCTTTGTTTGCCCAAAGGTGGACTGTTATGATCAAGCAGAATTTCAGCACTACCTCCCTCTTTGCACACATTCCAATTGGCCATTGGGGAAGCCCATTACATTGATGAGCCAATAGGAATATGCAGTAGCAGAGCCTAGTGGTTTGAACCCTTCTCCACTTAGGACCTCATTTACAATGGAGAACAGATATACCATTAGCTCCACTTATCTCCATTACAGTTTGCCTCCATATGTACACTGCAGCCCAGCCCATTCATAAAAATTGGGCCAGGGTGTATAGCAGATAGAGCCCCACATTGTTCTCAATCCTTAAAGGAGCAGAGTAAACTCTGTGATTGGAGAAGAGCTGGTCACCTGACATTGACAGGTCCCATGATTGGGATCTCCTCCAGCCTTTTTTTTTTCTTGATTCAGTTCTGTTGAGCTTCTTATGTACTTTGAAGCCGGTGGAGCATAGAGTACATTTCTAAAGGGCATTGCTGTAGTTATTTTTAGCCCATCATTATGGCCGTGGTGTGACCATACTGCTGATTTTTAAATAAGCCCCTCAATGTATAGATATTACTCTTGTATCCAACATCCACCTAACTACCAGCCCCTTGGACCCCATCCTATCACAACTACTCCGGTCACCCTCTAGCTCTATTCTACAATGTCTTACCCGCATCTTCAACCTCTCCCTTTCCAGTGCCATTGTCCCTACACCTCTAAAACAAGCATTGGTGACCCCCATTTTAAAAAAGCCCTCAGTGGGGCCCACCAGTCTGATCAATTTGAGACCCATCTCCTTGCTCCAATTTTCCTCCAAACTTCTTGAACGCCTGGTCTACAACCGCCTGACCTGCCACCTTACTGCTAACAACCCCCTCAACCCCTTTCAATATGGCTTTCGATCTTCAACACTCCACAGAAATTGCCCTTCTAAAACTAACTAATGAGTTACTAACTAACTAACTTACTAACTCTGTACTCATACTCCTGAAACTACCTGCTGCCTTTGACCCACTCCTCAACAAACCCCAATCCCTTGACCTCCAGGACTCTGTTCTCTCATGGTCATTATTATTATACAGGATTTATATAGCGCCAACAATTTGTGCAGCGCTTTACAAAATAGGGAAGATGTTACAATCGCAATACAAATCAAGACAAGATGGTAAGGAGGGCCCTGCCCTTGAGGGCTTACAATCTAAAAGTTCTCCTCCTACCTAACCCAGCGGTGGGTTTCAGTGTCACCTATAGCTCTACTTTCTCCTCTCCTCTTCCGGTATCCAAGGGAGTCCCCCAAGGCTCTGTGCTTGGTCCCTTTTTATTCTCCATCTACACCACCTCCCTGGGTCAGTTGATAACCTCCCATGGCTTCCATTACCATCTCTATGCTGACAACACCCAAATATATCTCTCTACCCCTCAGCTCACCCCTTCTATCTCCTCATGCATCACTAACCTACTCACTGACTTATCGACTTGGATGTCACACCACTACATCAAACTAAATCTGTCCAAAACTGAGCTTATAATATTTCCTCCTCTCCGTGTTCCCTCCCCCCGACTTCTCCATCACTATCAACAGCACTATAATCAGCCCCTCCCATCAAGCCAGGGTGCTCGGAGTAATCCTTTATTCTGAGCTCTCCTTTCAGCCCCACATTCAATTACTATCCAAATCTTGCCGATTCAACCTCCCTAACATTTCCAAAATGCGTCCCTTCTTAACAAACGATACTGCAAAGCTTTTGATTCACTCCCTTGTAATATGTCATCTTGACTACTGTAATTGCCTCCTTGTTGGCCTACTACTAAGCAGGCTATCCCCCTCCAGTCTATCATGAACGCTGCTGCCAGACTCATCCACCTTACCAACTAATCAATGTCCGCCATTCCCCTCTGGTGAAATACACTCATCCCCATAATTCAAGCCGACCTGTGACACTGAAGCTGTCACAGGTCGGCTATATTGATCGGGAACTCAGCGAACACATACTGCCGATCGCTGAGTTCCCGATCTCCTCCCTGCAGAGGATGGTGACTGTCAGTCACCGCTCCCCGCAAGGATTCCCCCCTCCCCTCTCCGCTTCTCCAGCACTGACTGGAAGAATAGACAGTGAAGGGGGCACATAGAGGTAGAGCCAGCTGTCAATCAGGCAGCGGGGTGGATCTCAACAGTATTGTTGGGATCTGTCCAGGCTGCGGCGCAGCTCTGCGCTCTCAACATATAGTGGGCAATGGCCTGCTATATTCTGAGTTTTTTAGGTAACCAGAGGATCTTAGTATTTTTCCTCCTGTGACCCTGAAGAGAAGTATGGCCAAAAAAGGTTAGGCCATAGTTATTGGGAAAAAAACAAAAACATTTAGGTGCAGCTTATAAACGAGGGTCTGAACAATGTGCTCTTATGTGTAATGCAAACAATAATTGTGCTGTGCTTGTTACTTTTGTACCTGAAGGACTCTTTCAAGATGACTCAAACGAAGGAAGAGTGTATGATGAGATCATGCAGCCCGTGGTGCATTCTGGGTACTTGAACAAGGCTGCTGTTTTGAGCAAAACATTTACAGCCAAGAAAACAAAAGACGGTAAGAACGATTCAGTGCAGGGAAAATAGCGATGAAGTAATGAAATGTAGAGGAACCCAATCAAATAAAACCTCCTAACTGATTAGTTTGCAGTAAACTAAAATCTGAATAGTTGCTTTGGATGACATGTGGCACATCCTCATTGCACTGCATTATTGAATAAGCTCATGGCTCATGTTGATTCATACACTGATAATAGTTGATCACAAATGAAACAACAATGTAGAAATATTTAAAATGTCAACCCACCCAAATGTCTAATTAAATGTTTGTAGTATAATGCACGCTTAGGCCTCATTCAAAAGGGCTTTTTAGTGCCAGTAGCAGATTCCTGCAGCCGGAAGCACAGATGGTTCCTGAACAGCTGCAGTTGCTCAGCCTGTACAAAGCAACGACAGGCTAACAGGAACTTCAGCTGATCGCCTTTTTTGCCATGTATACACACATACAGTGGTTGTCAGTGGCAAGGGACAGATGATCGACCCTGGATGCAATCTGTCTGCATATAGGATTGGTATTCTGTCCCTAGTTGCAGTAACTGATGGATGTGTGAATACATGCGAAGAGCAGTGGACTGCTGTGGCTCCTGTCAGCCTGCCGTTGCTTTGTATAGGCTGAATAGCCACAAATGTCTGGAACCACCTGTGATTCCAGCCACAAAATCTGCAGATTCTTTCCTCAGGAATCTGCTGTTTTAAGTCTGCAGTTTCTGACAGCTATGGTATCTGTGGCATTGCTGCCACTGATTATGTCCCTTTGGTAATGTCAGGGGCCACACTTGAGGCCCACTATTTTAAAAAACTTGACCCCCACTGCCCTGAGCCAATTCGATATTGCCCCTGGTGTGATTAGGTATCAGTGTTAATAGGCAATCATATTCTGTGTGTTTAGAAACATATCCAGCTATTTAGCGAAACAGTTCAACGCGCTGGCTGGAACTATCTCCTGTGGAAGTCTATTTCACATTTTTACAAAAGGCCTGTGAGTAAGCCGAGGTGAAACCTATTTTTCTCCAGATGCAAAAAATGATCATATCCCCCTTAATCGCCTCTTCTCCATGGAGAGTTCTCTTCTTCTTTTCTCATGCTGAGTTCCTCCATACCTCTTATCAGTTTAGTTGCCATTCTCTGCACTCTCTCCAGTTCCACAACATCCTATTTGTAAACTGGTGTTCAAAACTGAACTGCATACTCCAGATGAGCGTACAGAGACTACTAATGTACTGATGCTGTGTACAGAGACAAGAGTCTATACCCCTTTAATAGAAGAAAGTATCTACTGGAACATTGAGAGGTCTAGTTTGTCTTGTTTCATCCTCTTTACAGATATGTACCATTTGTTTCCTTGAACAGACTACCATAAACACTGGTGTGTCCTGGAAAGATCCCTCTTATTTTATGAGAATGACAAAAGCACAGAACTGGTTGGGAAGATTGGTCCATCAGAAGTGGTTTGCTTAGGAGTGAACAAACTCGACGTCTTGAGCAGCCCAGCACCCATGGAAAGGTCAGAAATCAAATATCACATGTGCAGGCCAACCTGCTTTTCTTTGAAATACAGGTTATTGCAGAAGCCACCTGTTATTGAGTCAGCAACAATTATGAACTTTGTATATAGAAGAAGACACTTAAGTCACTTTTGGTGATGTAGGTGACATCAACTAACAAAATACTGTAGTAAGAGCGATTTACAAAATGCTGTAGTAAGGCCCACTTTCTGGTAGCCACAGGAAGTAGCTGTAGATTATATATACTAAATTGTTCTTGTTCTTGCATTGATAATCTTCTTATTCCTGAAGTACAGACCTACAGTAATCTTAAGCTAACCACTTCAAGCTATTTTGGCTGATTTAGAAGGAAACAGATGGAATTTGATCTGTGTATGGTCAGCTTAAACCAATTACATAAATGGCAGAGTACTTTCAATATTAGGGTTTATGGCAGCCTTTAAGGCCCAACTCTCGGATTTTCACAAATCTACCCTTCCAGTTCTACTCCCTTCCCCCTGCAATGCAAGGTTTAAATGCTCATTTAGTCTACTGGTAGAGGAATAAGGTGTATTACTTACCTTATAGTTTACTCCGGCTGGCTTTTTCCATCTCTGTGACGTGTTCCCCAAAGCCCCTACTCTAAAGTGCTCCAGCCGGCAGTCTCACGCTGACTTCATTATATACAAGGCAGGGTCAATAGTTCATGATGTTGGGAGGAGTATTGAGGCAGGGTGCTGTGATGTTTTCAGGAAGCTTTGTACAGCACCTTGCCGGTCCCTCGCACCAGCCATGATTTTCCTGCATGGCATAACGATTACATAATTTCTTCTTAAAAATGTATTTAAAGTAAAAATATTTTATTGAAATGTTATTTCATTAGCATGTTTATAAGGGCAAAGGGAGAAACCAGGGAAGGCAAAATATAAGATTAAACTTCTTAACCTATCACTTAACCTGAAAATGTTCTGTAAATTTTAAACTTGATCCCAGCCTGGTTCTTAACACCAAATAACTGCTAGAATGTCATATTTACTTTATCAAGCCACAAAGCTATTGGATCCAACTGCCCTTCCTACACCAAGATCTCAGCACCATAGACTAATTGATCTGCCAAAAGCACACGGTGTACAGAAAAATGTTAATTGTAATACTTAACTTTAAATGTTCCATTTTGGAAGTTTTGGCTGATTATAATTAACCAACAGCCTAAACCTGTTGTAGAAAGTAGATGGTTTTAACCAGATTTTTTAAAATTCTGTTTCATTATATTGATTCTCCTCTTTTAAAAACATGTGAATGTATAATCATTCGTGCTGGACCGATCTGTATGTGTTAACATTTTAGGTTTCGGTACATATTTGAAATTTTCTTGGCTTCTGAAAAAGTGCACCAGTTTGGGACTGATGCTGCTGAGACACTGCAGACATGGACAAGTGCCATAGGAAAGGTGAGGTTCTATTTATTCTATTTGTACATGTTATTTATGATATGACAACTTCAGGATAACAGCTAAATTCACAAGTAATATATATATATATGACTCTTCCTATCTGCCAAAAGATAAAAAAATTCTGTTAATCTTGAGATCCCAAACACATAGTACAGTCAGGTTGGAAACCCCTCTTTTTTTCACATTGGTATAGTAAGCCACTGGTAATGTAACCACGACTTCATGCTGCCCCTTTGGAGGGCTACATCACCAGCTTCTCTTAGGGCGATCTTGCTAGTAAACTACGAGATCTACCAAGATCTATTTTGGAAAAGTATTGTTTCTTCTTCAACCGATGACGTCTGCAGGAAGGCAGATACAGAGATATGCATGAATTAACTAAATCATGTAAGACTTTGTTAATTCATTCATAAAACTGTGTGTATATGCTGATTGTGCAGACATAGGGTCTTTCTGCACATCATGGGGGGCTGGAAAGTTATTGAGAGAAGCAAAGGGAGACATAATCCTTTGCCCTTGCTAGAAATGGTCACCAGAATAAAGGTCCAGAAGTTAAAAACAAAAAGGTAATCAAGGAAACAACAACCTGCTTATAACAGGAAATATATATTTTTTAATTGCAGTTTCACAGAGTTTATAGTAGTGCCTTTATTTTATTTTTGTGGATCTGGGTGAAGTTTCGCTTGAAGCTTCAAAGCTTAGTTACTGACTCCTCTTAGCTTGTGACTGGATAGCAAAATAGCAGCAGTTCATTTATGAGGTCATCCTCGTGCTCTCTCCTCTTATACGTAAGCTACGAGCAATTAAATGAAGCAGAGCTTTGTTTCCTCACAATACTGCCTCGTCCTCTCTTGGTCCAGCTGAGCAGGAGTTTTTGGAAGCTATTATAAATCTGAAATATTATAGCTTTATATAAAGTAAAAACATTTACAGGGTTATTCACAAAAGGGTGAAGAGTTTGGAGAAGGCAGGAGAAGTGAACAATCTAGGCCAAAACAGCTGATTTGGAAACATTCTCCAATTCAGCTCACTTTCCAAATCAGCTATGTTGTCCTAGATTGTTCACTTCTCCTTCCTTCTCCAAACTCTTCACCCTTTTGTGAATAACTCTGTATATGAATGCATAACTGAAAAAGGGTGTCTTTTATTTTAGAACAACTCCATACAATGCATCCAGAGAATAGTGGACTGGAAGAAAAAAGAATAAATGACACTGCCGTTTATAACCTTGTTCCATGCCTTTAGAAAATCTGACTTCCTCTTGCTCTCTCGCTCTCTCTCTCTCTCTCTCTCCCCAATCCTCACTTGCTAGAGTTGTCTTTTAGGTTTTGAAGGGTTATGCTCTAAAACCTGTGACACCGTTTTTTTTCTTTCCATGCAGTGGTTCACCCCAATCAGCTGCCACTGTCTGCTAGTATATGAGTTCCAGCGAGTGGGTAAGATGCGCTACAAAGCAATGCTGAACCCAGATCAGTGGAAGGAAGGCTTCTTTCTGTTACAGAAAAGTCATCTTTTTATCTGTCCAGAGGAACAGAATGCAGCAGAAGACAGTGTCAATTTGCGTAGTCTCCAGGAGCTCAGTAAGTATTATAGAGACAGCTTTCTACAGATGTTACAAATGGCCTCAGTTGAAACAGGGTCTATGTTGCACAAAATTATTTCTGTCTCATTAGGGCTATCCCTATGAAGTCTATCCAGGGAAAGAGTGGGTGGGTTCCCTGGCCACCACTCCTCTTTAGGTTTTTGTACCTGTAACAGAATAATGGTGGTGCCCTTAGTATGTTGGGTGTGTGCTGTTGAGGCCAAGTTTGTCTTGTCAACCAATGTGCCCTAGGGACCAGTTGGCACCCACTGTTTTTTTTACAACCATTTGAAAAATGTCTTGTGTTATTTCCCCCTAGCCAACATAGCCATGGCCCTGTTCTTAGTCTATGATTTATTGAAGTACCCTATTCTGGGGTATTGTGTGCATGGATTTAACTATGACTGGCCACACTGAACCACTTGTGTCTCAGCCAGTATTGTGGGGTTGAGTATAACCAGTAGAACTGAATTTATAGGAAAGAAAACAATCTGTTTTCTATGATTTCAGTATTCCTTATGATTCTAGTATGCCTCTCAGTTTCTGGAGAAGGGTGATTACTTCTTCAGCCAGTCACTACCATTCCCAGACTAGTGCACACTGCAGTATTTGTAGTGGTCAAATCACTTTAAAACCAGCCTTGTAACCACAGCCATTGTGGAAATCAATCTTTAAAGTTCTTAACAATGGCACAGAAATCTTAACTATTTTCCAATTATCTTTTATTGGAATAGAACCTTGGCAGCCTGATAAGCCTCCAATGTGTACACACAACAGGCAGTGTTTAGCTGTTAGTAAGCATCTCTAACATCTGGGTTTAGAAAGTAATTTGGTGCACACAAAGTTGGTTCTTGTCCTGCGTTACTACTGAGGAATGTATTTAAATAAGGGCTCATTCACACAGGTGCAGAAGTCCGTGCCAGGGAGCTATAGGTTATGCATACAGCCCGTCTGTATAAGTAAATTACCTGCTGCAGTTGTACACTGGTAGACACTGCTCAGTGTGTTTTCTTGCGTATCCCTGGAAGCAGACTGTCTGTGTCATCTCCACAGTATGTGGACTTCTGCACCTGTGTGAACGAACCCTAAAAGTGCTTGAAGTCCAGATTTAAAGTGACATTAAACCCTCAGATTTTTTAACATAAACCAATACTGGAATGTGTGCCTTATTGTAATCCATGGTTGTTTCCCTTCTCTTTGCTGCTCTTCCTTTTAAATCCTCATCTCTTCTCATGCTTGGGGAGAACTTCCTTTGCAGCTGAGTGCCTCTTCCTGTAGTGCTGTCTCAGGTTGTGAACCTACACACAGACACCATGTATCCATTTCAGAGACAAGGCAGTCTGCTGCAAAACAGAAGTTGTGGCCATCATGAGAAGAGAGAAGGATTTAAAAGGAAGAACAGCAAAGAGAAGGGAAACAACCATGGATTACAGTAAGGCACACATTACAGTATTGTTTTATGTAAAAAAAATCTGAGGGTTTAATGTCACTTTAAGCACTTGTGCTATTTTTATAAGCAGGTGTATAAAATGTTAGAAACTAGAGTCTGTTGATTTTAATGAGCATCTCTCTACGTATTTCTTTCTTGATATTTAGCTGTATCACCAGCAGCGGAAAATTCTGAGAAGAAAGATATATTAATACTGGTAGAAAAAGGAAGGTACGTTTAAGTTAATTATTTTTGTGTTTGTGATTTCTATTTCACACTTTATTCCAAAAGAAGTCAGATTATTTTATATGGGGCTCCTCTGCCACCTGGTGGCCATTCTATATGTTTCAGATGGATAGTTTTCAGGTAATTGCACTTGCTATATTGCAAATGAGAAAATGGTTGCCAAAGAAGATTTTATAGCTTTGTAAAGTGTACATGAACCAAACAATGTTTTCTATGTGCGGGGAATATTTTCAGTTTTTTTAAATCGACTTGATATTTACTTCCACTCTGTAGGACCCTGTATTTGCAGGGTTTCACAAGGGCAGATTTCTTGGCATGGAGTTCAGATATCCAGACAGCAGCATGCAGTGGTGGCAACATGTTACGTGACCAGCAACTTAGTAGGAATGACATTCCCATCATTGTGGACAGCTGCATTGCGTTTCTCACTCAGTACGGTGAGTGTGATTGTTTTTACCAGAAATATTATGGAGATTTAATATGCAAAATCTAAAGAAACTCTGGAAGATTGTTTGTGCTTGATGGAGTCTATAGAAAGTAGAGTCACAGAGGGGATCACTGATAAGCTCTAGCATCAGATTACGTGCAACCTGTTCATTCTATATTTAGCTTTGATTGTCTTCACGTGTTTCACTGTAGACATGTCATTTAAAAATTGTTTCCTACCTGATCAATACTTGCCAATATACCAACACTGCTGCCAGATACAATTAAAAGTCATCACTCTGTATTTAACCTTCCAAAAAAATATAACACACACTTGAGTCCTAAATTACAATATGGTGTATAAACAGTTTAATGGATATTAGTAACATTCAAACAGCAGTCATCTCTTTCTTAGCCTAAAATAGCCACTAACAGGAAACGAATCATTTACAATGTGAAGCATCTAAAAATCTGTGCCAGAATGGGAATCTTTCTGTATGCTAGTAATAGTTTTTTTTTTTATATTCTATTTAGTATCCAAGTCATGTAGGTTTTGATCTTGAGGTTAATTAAAAAAAAATTTTACATTGAATTTTATTGGGAGCATAAAGGATAAGCATATATACGCTGATCATCAGTACATACATCATGTACTGTTATGTAACACACATCAGTACATGTGAAGAGATGAGCATCATATACGTATGTTCACTAAAAGGTAGTAGATTGCTTAAAGGAGAATTATGAGGTGAGTGGTTTTCACTCAGCCTCAAAATCTGAGCCGACCTGTGACAATGAAACTCACAGGTTGGCTCAGTGGATGGGGAATTGAGCGAACACATAGCGGCGCTCGCTCACTTCTCGATCCTGTGCCGGCAGAGAGCCGTGGCAGGGAAGGGACTGGATTCCCCCCTCCCCGCTCCGATCCTCCAGCGCTGACTGGCGGAACAGACTGGGGAGGGGGCGGGTATAGCTCACGGTGTACTGAGATGCCGCACAGCTGCGTGAGTGACAGCTGGCTCTGCCCAGCTAGAGGCAGAACCAGCTGTCACTCACGCAGCTGGGAGGATCCAGACATAATTGTTGGGATCCGTTCCGGCTGCGGCGTCTCAGTATACCGCGAGCTGCAACTCGCGGTATACTGAGCTTTGGGTGACGGGAGGACGCTAGTTTGTGTCCTCCCGTTACCCTTAGGAGAACTATGGGGAAAATCCCTAACCCTGTGGTTCTCCTTTAATAAACATGTGGACTCCATTTGATCAGTGTTTAAAAAAATAATATATATATATATTTGTCAACATAGAATTTTTAATTTGCATGTTGTAGGTCTCAACTTGTTTAGAGAGAGAATTGAGTAATAGGATCTTTAAAGTTCTAGGATTCTTTATGGATTATATAACTGAACCAGATTCTTTGAAATTTGCCTGTTATCTTTACCTATCTAAAAGAACTACTAAGTAGTTCCATGCACATTGGATGGTACAGAGATTTCTTATATATTTCTTTCATGTCAAAATGACAGCAATTGACATGACCCATAAGAGGCAGACAGATAATGCCTGTTATAAATCTCCTGCATGTTAGATTAGCCATTCTCAACCTGGGTTCAATGGAACTCTAAGGCTCCACCAGAGACTGCCAGGGGTTCCTTGAGCTGTGCCATACTGACCTCCCGTTTGATGGTACCTGCATAGTTCCTGGGCCAGTGCCACTTGAAAGAGCCAGCAGCATGACAACAATGATCTTTTTAGCTATAAAAAAACATGACATTCTGGTCACCACTGTAAGGGGGGCATTCTTCCCACTCAGCGCCAATGCAATGTGTATTTTTCCCTCGGTTCCCAGATAAATTGCCTTTAGTGGGGTTCCCTGAGAACTGAAAATGATTTCAAGGGTGCCTAAGAGGTAAAACGGTTAAGAAAGACTGGATTAGATTTTTATAAATCTGAAGCATATTGGGTTAACATGCTTAGAGTGTGCTCAGTTCCACATTATACAATACACAGATGTTCCATGATTTGAGATATTAGAGGGCACAGTGGAGGCGCGCTGTTCTGCATCTTGAAGTACACAGGCAGAAGATAAAGAATTTAGTGCATGCCATATTTTTTTTGCCTATTTCACCATATTCTGGTTAGTTGTCCTGTCTCAGGAACACATCTGCCAGGCATATATAGATATTTAGGGCTCATAACAGTGTGTTTGCACAGGTCTCCGCCACGAGGGGATATATAGAAAAAATGGAGCCAAATCTCGGATTAAACTGCTGATGGACGAGTTCCGAAAAGATGCCCGAAACGTCAAACTCCGCATCAGCGACAATTTCGTTGAGGATGTCACAGATGTGTTGAAGAGGTTTTTCAGGGAGCTGGATGATCCTATTTTCACAACAGAGCGCCATCCGCAGTGGAGAGAAGCTGCAGGTAATAAACCAAAATAAAATCTGCCCCTGTCAGTTAAAATATAATCTCAGGCTCTTGATTGAGGGTGAATATTACAGCAAAAGCTGGTTTGGGATTTTTATCTTTTTAATTAGCTAATTTTTATCTTGTTATTTTTGGATGGAGTTCTTCTTTAAATCTTTTGTGTTAGCTAAGTGTACTGTTTCACATGTGACATTCCGACTCTTTGTTACAGCAGCAACACATTTATCTTTGTTGTTTTGCTGTTTACCATAAAACTAAAATACTGTTCATTAAACCATGAAATTAAAAATCAAGAACAGTAACATGGAGGCGAAGCACTCTATTTGCATGTTTATTAATCCTTCTTGCTGTAAACGGATAACGATTCTGTTTTTCTCTTACAGTCAGCTTACATATTTTGTATCATTATGAAAGACAAAAGGGACATTTAGGGGAGTATTTATCAATGATTCACTTGTGAAATTTGCCCAGTAAAAATATCTAAATTCACCCAAATTAAGATTTGTTGGGATTTGCCCAGCAATTTCTGGTAGGGTTTGTGCTATGTATTATATGACATTTGCTGGGTGAATATTGCCAAGGCAGAGGTTGATAGTACAGTAGGAGTTATTTTTCACCTTTGGACAAATCTTCTTCTGGATGAATCTTGTTAAATAACTAAAATGTCCTTTTGTTCATTTGCCGACATGCTTTCTATGGCGCTGAAACTGCAGTTATTTGAGGGATGATATAGGAGGATGTACAGTACATCTTTTCTACAGCTCTGCTGTGGGTAGACTAACTTTCATTTTGCTAGCACCTTTTTTGTCTTCAATTTTCCCTAATTAAAGACCCTTCTTGTTATTGCTGGAGTTTTGTCTTTTGAATTGCAGTTGGACATTGCAGAGATAGCTTGGAAGTGACCATCGGTCACTGGGTTCCGCTTTGGGTGCTTTCAAGACTCATTTCTGGCAAAGGTTTGCTGTGGAGCACTTTCCAGGTCCAAAACCGCTTGCATTGCATCAGCACCTGCACTGTCTGTAAAGACTCAGTGAGTAGGCCACACTGTCTCATTTACATAGGGCGCTGGGCACCTTTATTTCCTGTTCCAGACGGTTTTACTGTGGAAGGGATTAGCGCTGTGGAGCTGAGCACTGACTTTGCAGCAATTTCCTGAGTGGAGTGTCCTCCATGCCCTCTTTCCAACCATAAAGCATCAAGGACGCTGCTGCTCATGTTTGCAAAGAGCCGCATGGAACTTTGATCTTCAGTCCGTTTCTGCTTGTTTGGGAATCTCCAGCCATCCAACACTAACCTGCTACCAGCTGCCTGGGTTCCATGAGTGCCTTTGCTTCTTAACTTGAGCCTATACCTAATACCTATAAAACACCTTGTGCCAATATACTGTATATCTCAGCAGCAAGCACTATAATGTGTGATTATGAATCTTAATTGACCTGTGAGTATGCTGCGCTAATCTTTTTAACCTGTGAATTTAGTGCGCCACATTCACAGGTTGAATTTGTAATACCTATACCTGTTCTTTGCCTTACCTCCACATGACCACAACATGTCTAGCGATAGGAGGGGCAGTCCTACTGTACTGAATGCCCCCCCAGCTCACTTTCTACATAGGGCTTTGGGATTGCTTGCAGCACGCCTACTGACGTTGCTGACGTCTGCAGTCTGGAACCAGATTACCACCTGTCTTAGGGACCTCTTTATCTTTGTCAAATGTGGCTAGGAGCTCTGCCCTTTTGGCTGGGGTCTTTACTACGGTTATGCAAGACTTTATGGACCAAATCACGCAGGTATTTGCTTACTCTGATTGCAGCCTTTTCTGCAGATTCTATATTTGATTTGCCCTCAGCCCGTGTTACTTTCGAGCCATCGGCTCCAGAGACTTATTTTTTTCAAATGTTTCTCTATGCAGATTGGTAAGAGAAACATATTGGTAAGTTATTTGATCCCCTTAAGCACTTATTAGCCTTGTATCCATTTCCAATCTAACAAGACTATACTGGTGAAGAAGGTAATCTGTTTTAAAGGATCCAGCTAACAAACTGTTGGAAGCCCTTTGTAGAGTCTTGTTCTCTCTCTCTTGTTCTCTCTGGTGGGCCCTGCTCTTAACTCTGTTCTGGCTGTGACTTAACTTTGTCTGACTGGTCTAAATCCCTTAAACGAGATCTATCTCCTTCTAAAGTGGAGCCCTTGCTTATTGAACACGTGAAGCAGATAGCTGTACCATTATACTTCAGTTCTGACAGTTTTCTGTAAGATTCTTCTTTCATGCATGTATCTCATATCAGTACATATGCGTAGGGTACCTTGGCTAAAGTGCTGGGCTGTGAAACCTTTGTGCAAAAAGCATTTGATCTGCATGGCCTTTAAGGGACAACATCTCTTTGGACCAGCTCTTGATAATATTAACAAAGATGCTACTGGTGAAATCTCCCTCTCTGACTTTTAAATGTCCATCTGATTGCTCCACTCCCTCAACCTCTACTTTGAGACCCCCTCAAGCTTGTCTATCTGTCCTCTCACAAGGTTTAGGTCTGTGAACACATGGACAGCTTGCACCTCAGATACCTGGATGCTCATTGCACTCCCCTCCGTTTCTCACTACCAGTTACTGTACTGAATAGCAGATCTCCGTCAAGCCCCTTAAAATCCTCTGGATTAAGATGTATTTGCCCCAGTTCCTAATGAGGGCATCCACCCTATCTTGATCTGAATGCCCAGAAATTATGCAAAAAAACTATGGGACATCTGCACCACTAGTAGGGCTTTGCCCTTCGGCCTCTTGTCTGCACCTTGGGTATTCACCCTTATTATTTATTTATTATTATACAGGATTTATATGGTGCCGACAGTTTCCGCAGCACTTTACAATATAAGGAAGACATTACAATACAATTCAAGACAAGATGGAAAGGAGGGCCCTGCCCGTGAGAGCTTACAATCTAAAAGGCAGGGGCAAGTGATACATGAGGAGGTAGCTGTGTGGGGATGAATTGTTTGAGAAAGTGATGGTTCAGTGGTTAGTTAGAGGTGGGATAGGCTTCCCTGAAGAGATGAGTCTTAAGGGATCGCCTAAAGGCAGTCAGAGTGAGAGATAGACTTGGGTTGGGGTAAAGAGTTCCACAGAATGGGGGAGACTCTAGAGAAGTCCTGGAGGCAAGCATGGGAGGAGTTGACAAGGGAGATAGAGAGCAGGAGGTCTTGGGAGGAGCGTAGGGGATGGTTAGGGTGATACTTAAAGACAAGGTTGGAGATGTAACCTGGGGATGAGTTGTGAATGGCTTTGTCAGTGGCTTTTAATCTTTTGAATTTTATCCTTTGGGCGATTGGAAGCCAGTGCAGGGAGTGACAGAGGGGGGTTGCAGATACTGAGCGGTTGGTTAGGTGGATAAGTCTGGCGGCAGCATTCATGATAGACTGGAGGGAGGATATCCTGTGTAGAGGTAGGCCAATGAGGAGGGAGTTACAATAGTCGAGACGAGAGATAACAAGTGAGTGGATGAGTAGCTTTGTGGGTTCATTGGTGAGGAAGGGGCGTATTTTGGAGATGTTGCGAAGTTGAAGATGGCAGGATTTGGATAGGGATTGGATGTGGGGAAGAAAGGTGAGGTCCGAGTCAAGGATGACACCTAGCACCCTGGCATGGGGTGAGGGTTGACGATGGTTGTGTTATCAATCATAATCGAAAAGTTGCGGGAGGGTGCATGGGGGGGAGGGAATACCATGAGCTCATTTTTTTAAAGATTGAGCTTTAAGAAATGTTGCGACATCCAGACTGATATGTCAGTTAGTAAGTTAGTGATACGTAAGGAGACTGAGAAGGTGAGTTGTAGAGTGGAGAGCTATATTTGAGTGACATCAGCATAGAGATGGTACTGGAAGCCATGTGAGGTTATTAACTGACCAAGAGAGGAGATAGAGAAGGGGTCAGAGGACAGAGCCTTGGGGGACCCCAACAGACAGGGGGAGAGGAGAGGAAGATGTAGATTTGTAGGTTACACTAAAAGAGCGCTTAGATAGGTAGAAAGAGAACCATGAGAGAACAGAGTCTTGTAGGCCAAGCAAGTGGAGTTTTTTGAGGAGCAGTGGGTGGTCAACTGTGTCAAAAGCAGCAGAAAGGTCTAATAGCAAGGGTAAGGAGTAAAGGCCGTTGTTTTTTGCTGTTAGTAAGTCATTAGTGAGTTTTAGGAGGGCAGTTTCAGTGGAGTGTTGGGGGGCGAAAGCCAGACTGTAAGGGATCGAGAAGGTTGTTATCAGTGAGGTGGAGGCTCAGGCGATTGAAGATGAGGAGTTTGGAGGTGAAGGGGAGTAAGGAGATTTGGTCTGAGGTTAGTGGGGTCCAGTGAAGGTTTTTGGGGTGACCAGTGCATGTTTTAGAGGGGAGGGAAAGATGCCAGTGGAGAGGGAAAGATTAAAAATGTAAGTAAGAGAGTGTAGGATAGAGCAAGAGCGTGATCGGAGTAGTGGTGAGGGAACAGGGCCCAGGGGGCAAGTGGTGAGGTGGGTGTCAGAGAGAAGCTTGGCAGCCTCTTCTGTGGTGATAGGCTCAAAAAAGGAAAGTAACAAGGGTGATGGTGGGCCTGGTACATAAATAGGGGAAAGTGACTGGACAGTGGGCATTTTATCTCGGATTGCATCTATTTTGTTTGTGAAATGAATGGCAATGTCCTGGGCAGTGAGTGAGTTAATGGGTGGTGGCGGTGGGGAACATAGTAGAGAGTTAAACGTAGAAAAGAGTTGACGAGATTTGGATGAGAGTGTGTTAATAAGGGTGACGAAATAAGTCTGTTTGGAAGCACGGAGGGAGGAGCTATATTTTAGGAGGGCATCTTTATACAGGGTAAAGTCTTGCAGAGACCTAGTTTTACGCCACACTCGTCTCTTGAGGTTTCTGGTTTCTTTAGTTTGCCACGGTTGTAGTTGACATGGTTGAAGTCTGCGTGTAGTGAGGGGAGCCAAGGTGTCTAGGGAGGATGAGAGCGAGCTGTTGAATACGGAAGTAACCAGGTCAGGGCAGGACAGGGGTGAGATTTTGTCATAGAGGTAGTCAGTAGCAGAGTAGAGAAGAGAAGGGTCGAGGTGGCGAAGGTTTCTCCGGGTGACAGTGTGCCGTGTAGGGGGATTCATGGTTGGGGACAGGGTGAAGGTGAAACTGACAAGGTTATGGTCCGAGAGGGGAAAAAGGGATTTTGGAGAGGTTGCAAGGTGTGCACAGGTGAGAGAAAACCAGATCTAGTATGTTACCATCAGAGTGAGTAGGGGTGTGTGTCCATTGTGTTAGGTCAAAAGAAGAGGTTAGGTTGAGAAATTGAGTGGAAGCTGGGGTGTTTGTTATTTGCGATGTTAAAGTCACCAAGAATGATAGTGGGTATTTCTGAGGAGAGAAAGTACGGTAGCCAAGCAGAGAAGTAATCAAGAAAGCGAGATATTGGTCCAGGAGGCCGGTATATTACAGCAACCCTCAGAGAAACTGGAGAAAAAAGACGAATACAGTGAGCTTCAAATGAGGAGAGGGATAGAGAGGGAGGCGAAGGCAGAACTTGAAAAGTGCATTGTGGGGATAGAAGGATTCCCACTCCACCTCCTTTCCGTCCACTGGGTCTGGGTGAGTGCGTCCAGTGGAGGCCACCATGGGAGAGGGCAGCAGAGGAGGCCGAGTCGGATTCCTGAAGCCAGGTTTCAGTGACCGCAAGCATGTTAAAAGAATTGGAGATAAGAAGACCATGCACAGTGAGTTTGTTACAGACAGAACGGGCATTCCAGAGGGCACATGAGAAGGAAGGGCTGGTTCTAGGAAGCAGGGGGATAGAAATGAGGGTGCGTTGATTGCGGCTGCTGCCAGAGGAAAGGGAGTGCTGGTTCGGAGGGTGAATATTATAAAACATAGGGCCAGGATTGGGACACATATCCCAAGAAGTAAGGAGAAGCAGAAGGGTGAGCGAAGTAAGGTGAGAGTGAGATTTATATGAGTGAACATGCCCCAATGATCTGGAGGTAACCCTTGCATGTGGGTTAAGAATGAGCAGGAGTTGATGAGTGCAGTAATAGGGAGAGGGTAGGAGAGACGGTGCAATATATAATTTGTGGGGTGGAGAGGGGGAGTAAAGAAAATAAATTTTAAGAAGTGAGGACATAATTGTGAAAAGCAGTGGTAGAGAAGGCATGTTAACTGATGGAGAGTCGAAATCAAATTTGGTAGAGACATAGGTGAATGGAGTGAACAGGATTACCTGCAGTCTGTATGGAGCAAGGCAGTTATGTGTGTGCCTTTTCCTAGTGCCATTTTCTAAGTGTGAAGTTGATGACGACACTTAATATCAGATAGCCACTTTGTATCAGAGAGACATTACAAAGTGTATGACATCACGCACTACCTGCTGGTATCCATTTTGGTGATGGACGCCGGCAGAGAGAGGAGGGGACATTCGCCCGGTGGGATACGGTATGCTGCAGGATTCCCTCCTCGATCGAGCAACTGCCGGGCTCTCGTGACGCTACTGTGTCCAGTCCTCCAGTAGGTTAAAGACTTTCTGTGACCTTCAATTGACTCCCAAGAAAAGGATTTTAGAGTACAAAAACCCTATTATGCTGATGAGAATTTTCATCATATGTCTGTTTACAGTTCATCCTACTGTCTAAATGTTTGACATTACATTTTTCTTATTTATTCATTTTAAGAACATCAAGAAAGGTCAAAGAGGCTAGAAAAATACATGGAGCTGATTGACCACCTTCCTAAAGTCAATCGAGCTACACTGGCTGCCCTGATTGGTCACCTCTACCGGTAATACTTTATACTACACTTGCCATAACTGTAAAATATATTTATAATATTATATTATTATGCAGCAATACTATGTAGAAAATTGGTAGCAGCACACAATCCAGAAAAACATGGTAGCAGTAGTATAGCAATAATTCAGTAGGCACTCTTGAGAAAGGGGGGCAGCGACCTGCGAAAACATTAGTATAATAAAACCTACACTTTTAGTCCTGTTTGAAGACCTGTTTGAGTGCCTACAGAACTTTTGCAATATGCAGTAGTATGTATAACCCATGAAACCTGTCATGGTTTTTTAATGTTTAGAAGTCCGGAAAATGAACTAATAAACTAAGGGGGCATGACATGTCATGACTAATAAAGATCAGCAAACTGGTTTGTGAGACTCAGAAATCTGGGAGTCATATCTGAAGCTAAGAGAATCTTGCAATGCCTCATGGGGGTTGTTGTTCCACAACAGCTGGAGGGGCGGAGTTTGACCACCACCACTGCTGTAGACAAACTGATCTGTTAACTGGAAAAGTGGTCCAAAGGATAACATTTTATAAGGAAATGAGTACCTGCTTATTGGGATAGTGATCTGCAGGAGTTGGCATTGCAATGGATTGCGGCCCTCCTGCAGTGAAGATATCTGCTGTGCACTTTGCTTAGGCACCAAAGTGAATAAGGTTTAACATCCTCAATAAAACAGTTAACGGTGGTATCTAACATACATGCTAGCTAAGAGAATAGCAGAGTCCACTATTGGTGGTGTGGGTTTCCTCTTCACTAATTTTTGACAGTTAATTTGCGTATAATGCTGATTCTCAACCAGTGGACCTTATGTACATAAATTTCAGTGTCTCTTTTGCTCATACTGACCCGATTCTTCCTTTTTATCTGCTAACCTGTACCATAAGAAATAAAGCCTGAATCTGGCTATGCTGACTATGTTGTTTTAGAAACATTTTTCACAACCGCATGCATGGAGCAATTTTCTAGTACTTTTAACCAACCTTTAATTATAAAAACAAAATAGTCCAGTTGAAAGCAACCTACCACCAAGAATGTATATTTTTATTAGCGATGCACCAATACTAGTATCGGTATCGGTGCCGATACCGAGTATTTGGGTGAGTGCTCGTACTCGCCCAAATGCTCCGATACCTAAACTTCCGGTCAGAGGGAAATTTCCTCTGACCGGCAGTGCCGTGAAGGAACATAGAGTCGGCTTCCCGGCCTATCAGCATCGAGCCGGCCAAACAGCATGGAGCTGGTATCCCAGCCAATCAAGAAGCCGGGGCGCTGGGTAGTGACCCACCTCCCAGCTTCCTGATTGGCTGGGAAGCCGACTCCATGCCCAATTAGCATTGAGCTGGCCAGAAAGCATGGAGCCGGCTTCCCGGGCAATCAAGAAGTGGAGCGGTGGGTAATGACACGCCGCCTGGCTTCCTTTTTGACCAGGAAGCCGGATCCATGCTAGCGGAAGTTCCGGTATTGGTACTCGGTAATGGCGAGTACCGAAATATAATTATTGGTACTTGTACTCGATACTGAGAAAACGGTATCGTGCACCCCTAATTTTTATATTCATATGGTGGGATATTGTTTGGTTGCTTTGATCCATGCCATTGTTTTTGTGATTGTAGGCTTATTTGAAAGTGGTTGAAATTGTTTTAAAAAACCATAGCAGTATGTAGTTTTTTTTTGTAGTTTTTTACAAGTGTAGTTTTCCTCAGCACAGAGAAGGACATTCATCTCAGTTATTATGCATTTTTCCATTGTTTTGTGTACATGCTATTATATCAGGTAATGTCTGATGCTTGTATCATTTCACTTCAGGTACATAGGACAATTATCATAAATGCAAGTGATTGTTCCAAACCTAATTGTTTATGATACATAATTAGTCAATTTGTACACTGCAAAAAGTTTTTAAAAAACACTAATTTTGAGATATAGTCAATATTATATACGGTAGTGTGATTGGAGCCAATAAAGTGACAGCAATGAGATGGACAGTGCTAAAAAAAAGCAGTAGATGATGCATACAGGCTCTCATGTTAGTTGTTTGGTCTCTTTTCATGTATTTATTTTAGACTGCTGTGTAATTGTTATGACCAGGTTTGCACCTCTGCATTTAATGTACTAGTGACATATTTGGTTGGGTTCTTACCTGGCTCTTTTGTAGAAGACCCTTGCAGCTTTGTAAGCAGACTCCCTTGCAGGGCTAAGAAGCACTGGCAAATCCAACTCAACCTCAGGCCTTCAATGAGAAAAGCACAGGCGCTTAGTAAAAGTCGCTTGTGCTTAGTACAGGTTTGGCTGGAGTTTCTACTTAAAGTAATATTGATACTTATTGATCAGCTAACCCTGTTGTGTGAGTTACATTTGGAATGTTAATTTCCTCTGTTAATAATTTGTTAATGTATGTTTAGATGTCCTTGAGTATTTTTTGGTACCATAGAAGGTACATTACATATTGGCTTTGTAGACTTTCCTTTATAATCTCTCCATATAACTTTTATTTTTTGTGATATTCCAGGGTCCAAAAATGTGCAGACCTAAACCAGATGTGCACCAAGAATCTTTCACTTTTGTTTGCTCCGAGCTTGTTCCAAACAGAGGGCAAAGGAGAACATGAAGTGAAGATAATGGAGGATTTGATTGACAATTATCCTAGTGTTTTCTATGTAAGTAATGTACTTTATAAATGTTTGTCTGCTTGGATGAGCTATTGTTGATCTCAGGTGTAGACCTAGTCATGTAAGAAATATGGCATATACTACTACTAACTTGTCTTTGAATGTGCAGTTTGCAGGGCTCGCATCCTCATTCTTTACTACTTAGCAAGTGACTGACTTGGAGCAAGCATGTGTAACGCCTATGCCAGATCAGTGACTCAAAAGGTAGAATAAAGAGTAAGGATGACAGCCCTGGTGCATGTCAGAAGCAAGCATCAATTGCAGCTCCCGTATTTCTGCAAATTATTTTAAAGTCAGTTGAATTCCCCCAAGGCTGCATGCACTACACAGGCCACACATTAGTCCCTTATGCTGCTGTAAAGGATATGGCAGATGCATGTCTAATTTGAGGTATGTGCAGGGCATATAGTAATGTTTTTAAGAGCAAGTGGGGCTAGTATTTCCTACATTACTTTCAAGTAACTAAGAAAGGTGTGGTGTCTGCCATTGCTCTTTCTCACTCTGGATAATTTCCTTTTCTAATTATTTGTTCTGGGTCAACAACAAAGAAAATATTGAAGCCAAAGCATCAGCAGGACAGCCAGCAAACTAATATTCTCATAGGAGAGGTCAGCTATGGCAGCCCCATACTTTTCTTATGACTTTAAAGCATATCTGAAACCATTATCAAAACTTTAATACATTGCAACTGAACAGTCCTTAGATGTGGTGGCTGCAATCCTTTTTATTTCAGCTACCAACATTTTCATCAAGTACAGAAAACACCAGTTGATGTGGCTAAAAATACAGTGCACTTGTCACTTCCTGGAGATTATCAGAAAGTACAAACAACATTCGTTTTGTAATCTACTAATCCCTTAAATCCACTATATAATGAAGGTGATTTAAAGATAGACATGTTTAAAGTCCAGCTTGGGTGACAACCTTGGCTCCTTAAGTAGATACAATGGAGAAAAAAAGTGTAGATACAAAGGGATAGGAAGTGTGTTTATTGGCAGGATTACCAGGTAGAAAGGGAAAATGCCTGTTAAAGGAAACTAATGGGGAACTAACTATATCTAAGGACCGGTAAGTTGTAATATATTATATTTTTGTTTGGGGTTTAGATACCCTTTAAAGCAGGGGTAGCCAAACTCCGGCCCTCCAGCTGTGGTGGAACTACAAATCTCATGAGGCATTGCAAGATTCTCACAGCCACAGGCATGACTCCCGGAGAGAGATGCATCATAGGATTTGTAGTTTCACCACAGCTGGAGGGCCGGAGTTTGGCTACCCTGCTTTAAAGTATAACTTTCCTTTAAAGCTACAGTGCATGTAATGCCTACATTTCTCCAGCAGATGGCAAAATAATTAAAGAAGTTGGATAAATAACCAATTCAAATAAATCTTATATAACAATATGAAAAGAACTTGATACATACACTCACTTTAGTTTTATATATGCTATAAATTGGGCCATGATCAATATCACTTTTGGCTATTGTGAATACAGTGGAGCAGTTTGGCTTGATAGCCAGGGATGATTTGCTAAAGACAAAGAGGCTGTTCACTTTTCAAGGGAATTTGCACTTTGCAGGGTAAAGCTGGCCATACAACCATCGCACAACTTTTGTTGTGCGATGGTTGTAAGGTCATTAAAATTTCATACGACCTGCCGATCTTGGACAGCCAGATCGTACTTGCGATCATCGCTGAGGGGCGGGCTTGCCGATGATTGCAATGCTGAGCGGGCAGTGTGCGCACATCGGCTTGCGCACACCGGCCCGTGCGGCTTTCGTCTTCCGCACACGCTACCAACCCGCCGGAAATCGTACGATTTTCGGCAGGTTTTCCAGCGTGCTAGGAAGACAAACATCGTGCGACCGTACGGTAGATGCAGCCTTTAGTAAATGAACACCCTCCCCCCCTTGTCATTTATTTTACTCAAAAAGGAAGGAAACAGGAAGTGGAACAATGTCTACCACATACAGCTTTGTGGCTAACAAATCACTCTTGAAAGTACCATGAGGAGCGTATACTTGCAGTTTTTCTAGAATGATGGAGTGGTTATATCATTTGTCTAATTACAATTTTGACAACAAAAACTAAAAATAAATGTGTTTATTATTGGTTTTAGATTGATGAAGAGCAGGTGACACAAATGGATTTGGAAAACAGCCTAATCACCTCCTGGAAAGATGTACAGGTAACATGACCTGTAGTGTTTCTTTGTTATGCATTCTATCGAAATTTAGGACCCATTCACACCATGTGCAGACCAGATCCAGACCAGAAAATGCATCCCTATTCATTGCTACGGTAAAAAGTGAGGTGCGTTCAATTCCAGAACGTTTAAAAAAAAAAATATTGCATGCAATATTTTCTCAGCTCTGGAACGCACTAAACGGCATGTAAACGCATGCAAACGCACCAGAATGCCCTGGAACACACCAGAAAGTCAGTTGAGACTAACAAAAATGCATCAGAATACAGAAACAAAAATGAAGATGACCTTTTTCTGGTCTGGGGATGGTGTCAACAAGCCCTGAATCTCTTAACGAGGTAAAGGTGAACTCCGGGCACCATCATTTTAATAGCCTTTGAGGGGTTAGTAGCCGTTCACCTCTGCTGTGTAGTTTGTCAATGGTTTCTTTCTTCATACAGCTAAAAAGTGGCTTTTAAGTTGTGTTGCAAAGTACAGATCCCACTATACTGACACTTCTTCTCCGCTAACACCAGCACCATCTGCTGCCAGAGCCTCAGTAAAAAATTTAAAAAAACCTGGTCTAACGGGGTATGGGGGAACACATGACACTTCCCATCTCTTCCACTTCTGGGAGACAGCGCCATATAAGTCTTTGGGACTGTAATGTGCAGGTTTGGGCAGCAGAGGGAGCAGTGCTGAATGTGAACAATAGAAGAACTGTGCCCATCAGATCTAAGTAAGTACGGATCTGCAGAGGGGAACGGTGGGATTGTTTAGGTCAGGGGTGGGGTTAGTATGAAAGTGAACTTATCTTTTAAATGTAAATGTTTTCATGTTTTACAGGAGTTTATGTTTACTATGAAACAAGTGATGTTCTTGAATTATTAACTAGGGGCAAAATCTAATAAAAAAGATACTTTTCTCTAAACAGCTGTCACAAGCCGGAGATCTCATTATTGAGGTTTACTTGGAAAGGAAAGAACAAGACTGCTGTGTCACTTTAAAGGTCAGTGATCATTACACCATAGTAGAATATGGAACTATAACACAGGTATATGTATAAATCCAAAGACATTTTCAGGGTTCCCCCATCCCAAAGGAACAATAATGAATCATTTTTATTAGGGATGCACCGATACTGATACTAGTATCGGTATCGGTGCCGAGCACTTGTGACGAGAGAGCATGGAGGCGGCTTCCCAACCAATCAGGAAGCCAGATAGCGTGTAATGACTCCCTGCCTGGCTTCCTGATTGGTCGGGAAGCTGGCTAATCAGGAGGCCGGGCACCATGTAATGACATGACGCACAGCTTTCTGATTGGCCCGGGAAGCCGGCTTCATGCTCCCTCGTCACCTCATGATGAGGGAGCATGGAGCCGGCTTCCCGGGCCAATCAGAAAGCCGGGTGCCGTGTCATTACATGGTGCTCGTCCTCCTGATTGGCCATCTTCCCAACCAATCAGAAAGCCAGGCAGGGAGTCATTACACATAGTTATACATAGTTAGTCAGGTTGAGAAAAGACACAAGTCCATCGAGTTCAACCTATAGAGAAAAGAAAAGCCTAAACAGAACACTATGCCCACAATTACCCAATGTTGATCCAGAGGAAGGCAAAAAAAACCCTATAAAGCACGGTTCAATTTGCTCCAACAGGGGGGAAAAAAAATTCCCTCCTGATCCCATAAGGCAATCGGATATTGCCTGGATCCACAATCTCCGATGCCTAATATACCTATAATAACTCAATATCCAGTAACATTCTGTGCATTTAGGAATACATCCAGATATTTTTTAAAACAATTAACCGAGCTAGCTTTGAACTAGCTCCTGGGGGAGTTTATTCCACATTTTCACAGCTCTAACTGTGAAGAATCCTTTTCGTAGGCAAAGTTTAAACCTCTTTTCCTCAATGTTAAACCTCTTTCCTCTGATTGGTCAGAAAGCCGGCTCCATGCTTTCTCGTCACCTAGTGACGAGAAGCATGGGGATGGCTTCCCTGCTAATCGGGAAGCTGTAATACCGGTATGGGTGCATCCCTAATTTTTATTTAATGGACTTCATGGGCAACCCTGTTAGTAATATCACAAACTCAAAAACATGGACTATTTAAAATTACATAATTGATTGTGTCTTTAAGAGATCATTAAACCACTCAGGAAGTGTCACATTTTCTTTCTTTTTAGTATCGACATTTACACCAGAATTTTAGAGCCACTTACTCCCTGGATTCACACGGTTGTGGTGTGATAATGCATGTGTTACATCACAGGCAACATGTGTTGAGTAAGGGCATTCTTACGGTTGCCTAACCAACTAAAACACACCAAAAAAGAGGTGTGTTTGTAATGTGGCGCACCAATGCACATTAGTGGGAGCTGTGCTGTGCTGCAATGCACGTGTGTTGGCAAGGTGTGTTGGGGTGCCATTCAAAATGAATGGCACCACAGCACACCAACAAACAGTTTGAACCAGGCCTAAAGGGACACCCATATCAATAGCTTCTAAAAGCTATAAAAAGAAAAGTTTAGTTCGTAACGTCTTATATAAAAATGACAAATGTTCACCATGGGTAGTAGTGGGAGGAAGATTTACTATAAAAATTATGTTTTTTTCTAGGTCTCTCCTATAATGACTGCAGAAGAACTGACCAATCAGGTTTTGGACATGAGGAATATTCCAGCCAGCACAGACATCTGGTTGACCTTTGAAGTTTTTGAAAATGGTGAACTGGGTAAGCAAAGGCGATGAATGCTAATGATAAAATGTGGCCAGGATGGTTACTGAACAAGTTATAGCACTAACATATACTGCAGCTCTTTCTGTCCATGATGGCCTGGGCTCAAAGCAGTAGGTTGATGCTGGGCATCGTTCAACCTGGAAGGTTGGTGGCAACTAGTGGTAGAGAAGAAGTACTGCAGGGGATAGCTCTGGATTGAAGGCAAGTAGTGCAGCCATCTTTTAAAGATTTAAACCTGCTGAACCTCACTTTTTTAAAGCTTTAAGTGTTAGTGCTGAGGGTGTTCGGTATTAAGGGGTTGCTTCAGGGTTAGGTGTTTGAGGGGGAGGTTTACTGTTAATGTTCATTTTAGGGGAGGTATTAATGTTGGGCCCACTGACCTCATGGGTACAGGGGCTGCACCTCTAATAGTTACCCTCTGCACCTCTAATAGTTAAACAAACAAGGGAAAACCTGTAAAATGATGGGGTAGTATGAAGAGCTTTGTAAGGGGTTGTGAACATGGTCTATTGTTTGTTTTCAAACCATACAAGTTTATGAGAATGCAAAAGCAGCTTTAAAAAGCCACGTTTGTCTATTCATGGCAAGTCCACTCCTGAATCACTCTTTGCTGATATTTACTATGTTCTTATTTTTCTACAGAGAGACCATTACATCCCAAGGAGAGAGTCCTAGAGCAAGCCCTGCAGTGGTGCAAGCTGGCAGAGCCTAGCTCTGCTTACCTGCTTGTGAAGAAGATTTCATTTGCTGAAGGAAGCTGTCTGTTTACAGGTAGATCATGGCCACAGACCTCTGTAGAAGTATGTTACCTCTGACACTGCCCCATTTCTCAAAACAGTCATCTTCTCCATTGGCCACTGCTGACTCTCAGCATTTTCATGTTTGTCACATGCACAGGACTCATACATGTGAAGATCAGGCTATTCATGGTATCTATTTCTTATGGGCCCATATCTAGGTATTCTCAACTGGGGTGCTGCCGCAAAACTGGTGTGCCGCCTGAGTTTATCCAGGATGCCGCAGCAAAATGGATCCAAAAAGCCCACACAAATTTATTGCAGTTTGTGGGTATCCATTTCCACAGTAGCAAGGGAGCCAGCGGGCATCCCACAAGGCATCCGACTGAATCTTAGCCACTGATGAAAGCATCTGTCGCTATAGACACTGTTGGCGGCCACAGTCTTAAACTGTGACTGCTGACAATATCTTTAGTGATGGATGACATCATTGGTTGCTAGGAATCAGTCAGGCAACTTGCGGGACAAACAATGATATGTGACATACTTTGCCGAGAGCATCGGCAAATGCAAGAGCATCCTACCATGTGTTAAAGGGCAGCAAGTGCATTGTGTAGCCATTCATTTGAATGGCTCTAAAAGCACACCTTTCACCCACAATGCAACGCATGGTACCACAATAAAGTAGTGCATGCATGTGACGTGCTTGTGGGATCAATACTTGTTAATGGCACCGCAAACGCATCTGGTAAAATGCATGTTTTTGCCTGACGCTGAGGCGCGTCAAATGCACACAAATGCATGGTCAAACACCGTGTGAAGCTTTCTGCTCAAAATGCTGCATGATCTTCTTTGCCGCATTTGTTGCACCTGCCACAGCCCAATGAAATGAATAAGCTTACACGCGACAAGACGCGCACCAACATGACACCTTGGGCTGGAGTGCCTTGAGATTTTGCAGAGTTTACAAGTGTGCTGTGACTCGAGAAAGGTTGAGAAATACTGTCCTAATCTGTAAGAAATATGGCCCTCCGTGATGATGGGAAAATCTGACAAATATTGACAATCTAGGAAGATACAAAGCATACATATAATTTGGGGGGACAATGGAAATGATCGAGCTAGAGCTATATATTGATTCAGTCATTGCATGATCATATATCTCATCTCATATAAGCATTATCAATTCCATTAACTATATCACAGGAGAGTTGTAGGTGATTCATACATGTCCAGACTAGAAGCAAATAAGGTCTATTGTGATCCTTCTTTGTTGGTTATCTGGTCATTTCATCTGAAGACTGTTTTTGTTTTTTGAGCAGCGCCTTGGTTATATTTTTATATTTGTTAGTCCAAACCACACTTAAAGTTAGCTAAGTTTATACTCTGGACAGCTCAGCTCACTCTGCTGACCCCTACATTAAGGTCCCCACACACCTTACGCTAATCGTACGATAATCGCAGGAAATCCCGCGATCGTACGATTATCGTAAGGTGTGTGGAAGACGTGCGACCTCTACTACTGTAAGGTCGCACGACTTTAAACTTACGGACATGTTCGAAAACCCGCCGAGCATGGTACGATGTTCGGCGGGTTTGTGGCATGTCCGTACGATAAAAGCCGTACGGGCCGGTGTGCGCAAGCGCACACTGCCCGTTCAGCATTGCGGTCATCGGAAGCCCGCCCCTCAGGGGGCGTGGCTTGTGATCATCGCAAGTATGATCTGCCTATGCAAGATAGGCAGATCGTACGTTTTTTTAAGTACCTTACAACCATCGCAAGACAAAAGCCTTGCGATGGTTGTAAGGTGTGTGCCCAGCCTTAGAGATTAGAAGGTTGGAAGGCAGCTAAGTTGGTACTGGAAGTTGCGAGCAGTTTGAGCTCTGCTGTTGAGAGTCAACTTGTTGAAGAATTTCATTGCTTCTGCTGCGAGTTTAAAAGAGAACTATGGGGTAAGTGTTTTTTCCCATAGTTCTGGGAGGAGCAGGAAGACACCAGTCACATGACTTTCAAAGGTCATATAACTGGGCTGTCCCCCTATCATGGAGTTTTCTTTGCAGTGTAATGTAAACACTCTGATCAACACTGCAGGCTCCACGCTGTGCTTTGCATTTTTGTAATATAATGGCGGTGTCCTATTGATGGAGGTATCTGATCTCCGTTCTAAATGGCCCCTTTTGTGTTACACACTTGTTTCAGGGTTATTAAAGGAGAACTATAAGGTAAGTGTTTTCCCCCATAGTTCTCCTAAGGGTCACAGGAGGACATATACTAACCTCCTCCCGTGACCCAAAGTTCAGTATATCACGAGCTGCAGCGCTGGATGATCGGAGCGGGGGAAAATGCCTGCAGGGAGCCGTGACTGTCAGTCACGGCTCTCTGCAGGGAGATGATCGAGAAGTGAGCGAGTGACGGTATGTGTTCGCTCACTTCCTGATCTATTCGGCCGACATGCGACGGTTTCATTGTCACACGCCGGCTCGAACTATGAGGATGAGTGATTTTCACTCATTTAAGGATGAGTTGTGCCTGCAGCTACAGAGGACAGTGATGTCCATAGCCTAACCACAGGTTGACACTGCTTTGAAGGAATTCCTACTTATTTAAATGTGCATACCGTATGTACTGTATATTTGACACTTAATAAAGATTTTCAAAAGCAAATGCACCCCTAACTTACATGTGTTCATTAGGTACAAAGAGAGAAACCCCAAAATGTGGCTTGTTGAAATGCAGAGAAGAGACCCCAAAGCTGCTGGCCAGCAAATTTCAGGAGAGATATTTTGTTATCAAGGATCGCAAACTTCTTCTGCTTAAAGAGAAAAAGGTGTGTACGTCTTAAACCCTCTTCTACTTCCTATAACTTTATTTTACTTCCTCTTTTTTGCTTTCACACTACATGCGGTCCCCGGGTTACATACAAGATAGGCACTTAAGGTTTGTACTTAAGTTGAATTTGTATGCAAGTCGGAACAGGTTCATTTGTTAAGTGTAACTCCAGCCAAAAAATTTTTTTTTAGTTTTGGATAGCATAGGGAAGGGTCACATTTGTTTTGCTGTCTGTTCCTGTTGTTCAGAAGATAATAGTATAATTAAAAAAAAATGTATTCAAAATTACACACCCAAAAAAGTGTTTTCTTCTATTTTTAATTTAATATACTTTATTTTATTTTTTTTGCATTTTTAACTTTTATTTAACTTTTTTTTTTCTAAATTTTGTAGTCTTTTTAAGTTTTTTAGTTTTTTATTTGTTTTAAAACTTTTTTTATTTTTTGAATTTTATTTTAATGCTGGGCGCCAGCCTGCTGTTGGATATTTCAAATTGCAATAGCCAATAGCAGGCTGGCTATTGCATCTGCCTGCTGTCACTCAGCAGAAGAGGGGCCTGAAGGAGAAAGTTCTCTATCAGGTCCTCCCATGCTGATTGACAGCAGGCAGTGGGCGGGTGCAATAGCCAGCTTGCTATTGGCTATTGCATTTTACAATATCCAATAGCAGGCTGGGTATGGCTCCCAGCCTGCAGACGAAGAGGAAGCAGGGGGCGGGGCAAAGGAGCCGCGGCCGGAGCGGAGGATCGGCCGGACCGGGGGAAGAGAAGAAGACGGCCCGCGGGAAGAGGACGCTGGGACAACAGCAGAGGTACAGGGGCAGCTAGGAATGCAGCGGTCGGTGTCCCCGCTGCCTCTGCCAATACAGGCGCAGAGAGCAGCGGGGATTTGAAGTGACACAGGCCGCTGCAGCCACAGTTCTCTCAAATGTACCGGCAGCTACATTTAGGAAAGCTATGGACCCCAATCAAGAAATTGGTTAAGAAAACAGAGTTTAACCCTCATGACACATTTTTAATTTGCTAGTTGCCATTGAAGGCTAGGGTCTATTTATCAATATGTTCACGTAAGATTCATATACCCCAGATTTGAACACCCCAGATACAAACTTTGTTACATCAGATTCAGTTAGAAAAATGTGTTAATCTTGGGTGAAAAAAAATGATGAACAGACCCCTAAATCTCCTTGCTGCAGAGAGTTTCCTCATATGCAGTACACTAAAATCAATGTGCTGCTATTGAGATGCCATAACAGACTGCCATTTAGTTTGCTGGAGCACTGTGTATCATAAACCTGTGCATTTTTTTTAAATAAAATACTTTTTTTTGTACCTTTTCATCCTTTTTTGCATCTTAGTGCTGCTGATCTCTTGAAGTCTCTTTGCAGCCATTTCCTGTCTGCATGCAGTGATGGCTGTATGGCAATTCTGAAAGCAGGTGTCCTGATAGTGACAGCAGTGGCAAAATGTTTTTGGTCGCCATTGGATGCTCGGGTCGCAGAGTGACAATTGGGAGACAGGCACAGAGTGTTGTCACCCCATAACACTAAGGGGTCTCTGTATAAACAATTCACCCTGCAAATGTCATGTAATACTCATTATGGCCACATAGGTGCATAAGAAAGGATATATTTGTACCAGCAGGAATGCAGTATTTTCCAAATGTGACATTCAACTTGAAAAGAAAATATACTAAGAACATTTGTTTTTGCCTGGAAGGTATGCAGAGATACGCAGAACACATGGTTTTCCAAATTGTTTATAAGGAGACTCCTTTGTATCTAAACAAGGGCCTTAATGACAGGATCACCAGATATTTTTTTATGAAAGATGCAGATTTAAATATATTTAATATGACATTTGATATTTTTTTGTGATTGGGTTTACATATGCACTAGCCTAAATGTAAATACTGATTGAACGTATTATTTTATGTTGCAGAGTTCCAAACCAGAAAGAGAGTGGACTCTTGAAACTGCCAAGGTTTACATGGGAATTAGAAAGAAAGTGAAACCGCCAACTCCGTACGTTCATCTTTTATCACATTTTAGGAATAACTACTTCAGCTATCACAAATGCATTGATTTACATTTTACTTTTGATTTCTGCATCAAAAAATAATAATAATAATGAGATATATATATATGTAGTAACAAGGACACTCCACTGACAGGGGGTGCAAGTAAAATGCAGTTTTATTAAGGGCAAACTCCAAACATCTCGTTCCATCCACAGGGTAGACCTCCCCTGTTGAACAAGACAGTTTCTGGCAGCAACATAAAGGACAGTCTTTTAACTTCGCTCTGTAGCTTTCCATAGCTCCAAGAAACTGGCACTGCTCACCCCTCGTGAGCCCTCACTCTGCTCTCTCAGCAGCGTGTCCCACAGGTCCTAGGGTCACCGACCTTCCCGACCTCTCCCAGCCTTCCCTGGCTGTTCCACGTGTCCAGCACGCACCCGAGTCTGCGTGTGTCCGTGTGCCTCCTGCACCCACACAACTCTCCCACAACTCTGGGCTGGCTTCCTAATAAGGCTACTCTCAGCTGCTTGATCAGCCCAAGCTGGTCATTGGTAACACCTGGCCCCAGGACTGGAGATCTCATCCCACCCAGAGCTCTAAAGGTGCCCATACACTGCTCGATTCTCGTACGAGAATTGCGGGAAATCCCACTATCGTACGAGAATCGAGCAGTGTGAATGAAGACGTGTGACCGTTTCTACTGTACGGTCGCACGTCTTTTGTCTAGGGACAAATCGTAAGATTTTCGGCCTGTTTGAACGGTGCTCGGGAGACAAATGCCGAACGGGCCGGTGAACCACACAGAATACACCACAGAACCTCCCCATGACGTCATACTGACGTCAAATCCCGCCAGAATTTGAAAGCAAAAATTAGCATATAAACAGACAAAATAAAGTGCAGAACACAACCAATATTCCTGAACAGTGTTAGTAACACTGACCTCCTGTGCCCTGTAACTACTGAATGGTGGTAGGAGAAGAAAACAGCTCAAAGAACCTTAATTGCCCGGGAAGCCAGCTCCATGCTGTTTTGGCCGGATTGATGCTGAATGGCTGGTTATTACCTGCTGCCCGGCTTCCTGCTTGGCTGGGAAGCCGGATCCATGTTCCCTTGTGGCACTTCGGGTCGAGGAAATCTCCCACTGACAGGAAGTTCCAGTATCTGAGCATTTGGGCAAGTACGAATGCTCGCCTAAATACTCGGTATCGGCACCAATACCGATAATAGTATCAGTGCATCCCTAATTATAACCAAACATTTTTAATGGTATAGTTAACAGACCAAAAGGGAGCATATAAAGGAAGTTCACTGTTAGGGTTTATATGATATACATTTTAAAATGAACTTTGTCTTCTGTGCTGCCTTCCTGACAAAGCTTACCAGTGTTTTATTACATTTTACTGATTGCAATTCCCTGTTTCTTCATTAGATGGGGCTTCACTATACACTTGGATAAACAGCAGTTGTAAGTATACTGAGCGCTAAGATACTTGTGCCAAGGCATGATGATTGCTCCTATATTCATGAAAAAATATCTAATTGTTATATGTAAACCTGTCTTTACATATTATATTGCAGGTGCCTATGCTGCATAACACAGGCAGAGATGTGGGACTGGATCACTAGTATTCTTAAGGCACAGGTAATTTAATTATATATATATATATATATATATAACGAGGGGAATTTATCAAAACTGGAGCAGACAGAATCTGGAGCAGTTGTCCAAGGCAACCAATCAGCTTCTATCTTTCACTTTTGGCAACTTAAAAAAAAAACTAATGAAGTGAACAACCATTGTTTTGTTCCACAGAACCTAGATCAAGGGCCACAGAACCTAGAGCAAGCCCTCCTGCTGTGCTTTAACTATAAATCCCACTATGCCTCTGGGAGTCATGCCTGTAACTGTCAGTCTTGCAATGCCTCATGGCACTTGTAGTTTCACAACAGCTGGAAGGAGTTGCCCATTTCTGCCCTAGAACAAGAGCAAGTGCTGCTTCTGTAGCTTGTGGACACAAAATATCCATTTTATACAATGGAGTTTCATCCACTTCTGAATCTACACATTCCACTTACAGGCTTAACTGACTTTTTTGTTTGCATGTTCATGTATGCAGGGAATGGGGCTTTAAAATATATTTATTTTATTAGTATTTATTTTATTTTACTTTTCTAACTTTTTGGGGGGATTAAGAAGGCTAACTGAATACCCAACAGGGGGAGGACTGATAAATCTGCATGTAGAATATAATAATGGAAATATGGTAGCACAAACCTAAAAATGTGAAGATTACATTTTTAAAAAATGACAATAAGGTAGAAATCACATTAATAACTCAAATGCATATTAACTGAAAATATACCATAGTTATCAGGAATGTGGTCCTAGAGGGATTCTTCATACTGAGGGCGGTGGTAAGGAGAAGCATTTGTGGGAGACTTATCCTTCAATGGACAGCTGTACATAAACTGTCTATGTGTCTCCCCAACTCCTTCCCCCTTTAAAAAGTATACACAAAGAAAGAAAAAAAAATCAGAGCTTGGAAGCTGCGTGGTTCCCTCTACACTGCTCAGCTACTGGTTTTCAATTTTCTTCACCATATTTCTGGTACAGTGCTATTGTGCATATTCTCTATAGGGAAGAATGGAAGAGACCCACTTGCCTCCGCAATTCATTTCTATGGAGCGTGTATACTCACCTGGGTGGAATGAGATTTCTTGATGTTACCAATGTACTGCTCGCTGTCCCTTCTGTGATGGAGAGAAAGGTGTATCGGAATACCATCAATGCATGCAGTTTTCTGATACTGCTTCATTCTGTGGACCTCTGCTTTATTGACCCCTCCTGCTGCTTCTTGACTATTACCCCTACCCAGATCACCAATAATCAGGGGGACAGCTCTCTAACTTGAGGAAGCAAAGTCCCACCCCTAACAAGGTGGCTGCCTCCACACATAGAGTTTCCCTTTAAAGAGAAAAATAACAAACATGTCCAAACATCACGCATCCTTTTTTAATGGTAAAACAATATTTTAAACCATTTCATATTTCTATTTAAAAACAAAATATTTTGCAGCATGATGACCTCCGCCCAGTGATTTTAAGGCGCCATTCCTCCTCTGATGTAACCAAGCAAAAATTTGGCACAATGCCTTTAGTTCCGATTCGTGGTGATGACACCAACTCTACCATGGTGACAGCTAATCAGACACTGGTAAGTTTGAGTAGCGGAGCTTCAAGGATGATTGGGGCAAAATGATGCATGCTAAGTTTAGTGTTGCAGACTTGTAGTTTTCTTACACGATAATGTGCACTAATTCTAAAGACTGTGTATAAAATGGAATTTGTGTTAGACCAAAGCTGGAAATGTGGCCCCCATTTCCTTTAACTGTAATCTCCACATGCTAATGCTAGTTGCCAACGTGGTCTCAATGCATCTGCCATTTGAAAAAAAGGTAATAGATGGACACATGAAGTACCATTGTTTATAGCAGCTCAAGTCACAAAGTATAGCTGTACACTGCCAATGCAGGACAGGCTCACTTGCATGCCCCACCCAGAGCTGTCTCAAGACACAAAAAATGCTACATGAAGAATGAATGGATGGGTTGCTTCCCAGTACCTCCCCATGATGCCACCATTGACTTCTCCCACTGTGTATACTTACACTTTGTTTGCTGTCCCTTTTACCCACTGGAATATGGCAACGCATGATTTCCCACCCTTTTCCAACATGATTTAGCATTGGGTGCCTGAGGTGTAAATCTCCAGGCCCATCCATTATCATTTGGGATGAGAGATCTTTGTAAGGTCCATTTAGTTCTATCAAGCAAACTGTACCGAGTTGAAAAGTAGAGCCTGCTAAATGGACATGGTATGGTGTGTTGGATAAAACAACTAAGGGCCCTAGTTATAAAGCAGCAGTATGGCCTTATTGAAGCTATAACTCAAGCTTAAAGGAGAACTATGGGGTCAGTGTTTTCCCCATAGTTCTCCTTAGGGTAACGGGAGGACACAAACTAGCGTCCTCCTGTTACCCTAAGCTCAGTATACCACGAGCTACAGCTCGCGGTATACTGAGACGCCGCAGCCGGAGCGGATCCCGACCTGGACGTTGGGATCCGCCCAGTTGCGTGAGTGACACCTGGCTCTGCCTATCTAGAGGCAGAGCCAGCTGTACCCGCCCCCTCCCCCGTCCGTTCTGCCAGTCAGCGCTGGCAGATCGGAGCGGGGAGAGGGGAATCCAGCCCCTCCCCCTGTCATGTCAGAGAGCCGTGACAGGATCGAGAGGTGAGCGAACCCGATATGTGTTCGCTCTCCTCCCGATCTACTGAGCCGACCTGTGACAGTCTCATTGTCACAGGTCGGCTAGAACTATGAGGTGAGTGGAAATCACTCATCTCATAGTTCTCCTTTAATAAACACAAGAAAACATCACACATTGAACAGCAGTGAGCTTTTCAAATGTCCATTACACTCTGCCTGCTTCAGGTCTTCAAAGCAAGTGGAGCACAGTTAAAAAGAATTGATGAATGAATTGAAGAAAAATAAGAAAAATCTAACAGGAGTAGAGCCCAGTTACGCGACCTGTCAAATTCCGTAACCAGTCCTTACTCTAATAACAAATAGGACAGGCTCCACACGGCGCTCTTCATGTTATGAATGCAGACGTGTCAATGCATGTAAATTCTTCCTTCTGCTTAATGGTGCTAGTTCACTGATCTGTGCGGTGCTTTGACATGCGTAGGCTGAAAAAAGCCCATGCCTGTTTTTGATACGTCAACGCACTTTGCAGACCCTATTAAAGGAAATGGCAATGCACAAAAACACGTGTTTTGACACATTCTAGCGCATAGTAACCAGCCCCTCCCATTGCAACCTTCAACTTTCCTCAACATTGCATTGGTTGACAGAACCCAACAAACTAGCACACAATGCATGAAAATGCGGTGAAAATAGCGTGTTAACACCAAGTATAAAAACACATACAGGAAGGTGTGAACCCATCCTAACTCCTGAGAGTTTGAAAAAATAAATACATGATAGATTTCAGGAAACATGTTTAGTTATTTATAGAGCCTGGTGGACTGGGTCAGCCCCGGCTTTGTGTATGTCTTTTAGACTACAACAGTTGGACTTCCCCTCCATAACTCATGACTCTGTTCCTGTCCAACTTGGAGTTTTGGAAGTTCCGGCTAACCTTTAAGTGTTTCCTCTCCTCCTGCATTCTTCATAATATACATCAAATTAATAAATAAAATAAATACCTTACAGGGAGAGTGGGAACCCCTCATGATGACCACAGCATGTGTGAATGTCCATGACGTCAAGAGCAGATACCTCACTAACATACAAAATATTGTCAGATTATTTAACTTTTCAAGACTTCAAATAGTTGTATTTTGAGGAAGCTTGTTATGAGAGAAATACAGGGGCTGCCATTGCTCACTTCTATCTGAATATATTAGTTGCCTGGTTGTAATGCTGACCTTCTCACTTTAATGCTTTCACTGACCTGGAAATTGTATGGACATTGAAAGTCCTTGTCTGAATACTTGTATTTGCCCAGTGATTCTACATATTGTAGCAATGGGGTAAGGATGACAACCAAGTATCTATAGAAGGAAAGGTTAGCACTGGCTACTCCTTTGTTTCTCTTATGACAGATTTGCTTCGCAGATATTTACTGCGAAGCTCTAAAGTTATAATGTTTTCTGTGGTTGGAAACCAAATGTGTCCATGAAGTGCCTTTTTAATACCTTTTTCTCTATAGTTGGGGAAAATTTTTAAAATCTTGGTGGTTTTACCAGCATTTTGTTAGGACCAGACATTGCCAATTCCACTCTTATTCCGAGAAAAGTTAAAAAGACACATTTAGAAGTTCTCGCACATCAGCAAAACAGGATGCAGTTTCAATATGACGCTCTACTTCTGTTTTTACAGCCACATGAATGCTAACTGTATACTCTAAAGCAAGGGTGCCCACAATTTTTTGTGTGAAGATCTACTTTTCAAATGACGAGCTACATGAGATCTACCAACGAAAAAAACCTACCTCACTCTCTCCCTCTCCTGGCTGTCTCTCCTCGCTCTGTCTCCTGGCTGTCTTTCCTCGCGCTCTCTCTCCTTGCTGTCATTCCTTGTTTTCTCTCCTGGCTGTCTCTCCTTGCTCTCTCCCCTGGCTGTCTCTCCTTGCTCTCTCTCCTGTCTGTCTCTCCCCGCTCTCTCTCCAGGCTCACCTTGCTGTATTTTGCAAAAAGTGTAGTGCAACAGGCTGTGTAAACTAATATTCTTTGATGTAATACATAGCACTTCAACCACCAGAAAGGTCTCAGGGAGCTTGGCTCAGCAATCTCAGGCTAATAGGTAATCATGAGTGCACAGCAAAATAAATATACCAAAATGGAGTAAAGGGGCCGCCATTCACACATTTCGTGATCAACCAGCATCAGCTTTGAGAGGTACGGGTAGATCATGATCTACCTAATGGGCACCCCTGCTCTAAAGAATATAGTTTGACATCATGCTGGTTTAAAGGATCTCTGCTAACAAAGGCCAAGTAAGGTCAAGTTGTAAGTAAAGCTCATGATAACTACATTTAGGCCTTAATGCTGTAATCAACATTTTGTCTGTTGTGCTGCTTGATCCAGAAATTTGGTCAAGACATCAAATGACTGAATTATAAAAAAAATTACTAGTCAATCCAAATCTATTTAAGACAGGTGCGATATTGAGCTCAAGTCCAGTCAGGTGATGTTTTGTGGCTGGAATATGAAGGATTACATTGTCAATTATACCTAATATCCTATATGATGTGCATATACAACAGAAGACTCTGCTTTGGTGCATGTGTAAACTCTACTCACTACAGCAGGAGACTCAGCTCTGGTGCATGTGTAAACTCTACTCACCACAGCAGGAGACTCAGCTCTGGTGCATGTGTAAACTCTATTCACCACAAAGTAGACTGTTCTGGCGCATGTGTAAACTCTACTCACCACAGTAGAAGACTTTGCTCTGGTGCATGTGTAAACTCTACTCACCACAGCAGAAAACCATTTGCTCTAGTGCATGTGTAAACTCTACTCACTACAGCAGAAGATCCCGCTATGGTACATGTGTAAACTCTACTCACTACAGCAGAAGATCCCGCTATGGTACATGTGTAAACTCTACTCACTACAGCAGAAGATCCCGCTATGGTACATGTGTAAACTCTACTCACCACAGCAGAAGACCCTGGTCTGGTTCATGTGTAAACTCTGCTCACTACAGCAGAAGACCCTGCTCTGGTGTAAGTGTAAACTTTACTCACCACAGCGACGACCCTGCTCTGGTACATACAAATTCTAGCATGCAACAGCAACTTACAGTCAGTTACACTATGACCATCACCCCTGCTGATTCAATAACTGTGTTGTAGCCTAACACTGCTCTACATGATACTTTTTAGGTGACAGTCCCAAAAACTGCTTTGAAGATCTATCTGTAACAGTTGACAGCGTAATATTGCTCTTTTAGTGCAATGCTAGGTCTGGCACAAAGAGGAATCCAGCCGTCTGCAGCTGGCCCTAATGGTAACACAACAGTTTTAAAACTCCAACATAAAGCTACACTCATAGTTCACCACCCTGCTAAGTTTGCAGATCTGCATCTCTTGCTCTGGCAGCCACCCAAGTGGCTGGCCCCTACAACTAATATGCTCAATGAGACCCAGTCAGAGGGAAGGTCTTCATCTAAGCAAGATACTGTGAGCCCTTTCCCCATGGGCACTCATTGCTCCAGCATTATGGAAAGCGCTAATAAGCCCCTTATAATGATTTCAATGATATGCAAACTTAATAGATATCTATGGCAGCATTTCCCCTAACATCCAGTCCATCTCAGAAGGGTTATTTAGATATATCTAAAACATCCACGAACTCAGGCGTTTCCACAAAAATGTATGGAGGATATGTTTTGGACTTGGTTCCAAATTTAGATCGGATCAAAAGTTCCGTACTTATATCTGCCGCCTGGCCTGATTCAATAGAGTATACTCTCGGAGATAAAAATGAAATCACGCTAACTCAGTCAGTGTAAAAACACTGTTCTCCTTTCCAGGGTTTTTATTTAACAGGTGAACGTGTATATTTGAGCGTAGCATTGCAGAAAAGTATGTTAGTTTATATATTCTAGCTTATCATTGGTTAGATCCATTTATGCATAACTTCCTGCCAAGATGTTTATAGATGTTTATATCTTTCGTCTTGGGTGTTGTCTGAATAGGAGGCGCCAACTTGGTTCCTATTTCTACTGCGTACTTCGGATCTGAGTAAGGTTTTGAGGAAGGCAAACGAGCAAAAAGCAACTTAACATATATATGTATTACAATTGTCTATTGAGATAGGCATTTTGTCATAATTGTACTTAACCACTTCCATTACAGATATCCCCTTCTTTGTAAGCAAAGGAATAGTGTTTAACACTTTCGTAGACAACCTCTATAAGTTGCATATATATATATCTATATCTATAGATAGAGATATATATATTACAAACCTAAAATAGTATTACAAAAAATGTCAGCTGTAAAGTTCTTGTTTGTGTGTCAAATGCCGTGTCAAAGAGCTACCAAGCTACCACACCAAACTACAGAGCTGATCAGGAGACATGCTTTGAAATGTCTGCACTGTAAGCATGGTCTGTTCACATGTTGTTGCTATAATTTCTGAAATGATCTTTGTTATAGTAATGTGTATAGCATCAACATGCAGTATCCATTACAGAATCCATAGAACCATTTATATCAGTTGTGGCAGTGCATGGCAATGCCACTATGTAGAGTGGGAAAGGGGTCACCCAGGACTCTCAGCTCTGGCTGAGCGGCTCCAGGAAAGTACTGTTACCAGGAAAGAGCTGGTTTTACAACTCATTCCGGTTTTCTGGATTATAGTTGGGATCCTGGACCCGGTAGAATTCTAAGAGAACTGGGTGGGAAGAAATCTTCATTCCTGGGTCTGGGCCACCACCAGCACCAAATGATGGTGCACCTGTGCAAAGCCCTTTATGAGGAGGATGCTGGGTCAGGTTCAAGGCTCATGTGGATGCGTCCTTAATGCGCTACCATTGGAAGCTAAAACTCACACAGTCTTTACATAGAAAAGAGATTGCAATACTATAACCCTACCCACAGATCCACAAAGTTGGGCTAGTTTGGAAGTTTTTGAGTCGTGGGAAGAAAATCATTTACCCAGAGAAAATCCATACACACAATAAGAGCAACGCTGAAATTCCATAGTGTCCCTTGTAGGAACTGTACTTTGCACAGTAAGGCAAGAGTGTTGACCATTAAGAAACCATGCTGCCCACAGTCTTTGTATAAAGCAGAAACCTGCATGTGACATTACTTTTAAGTAGAGATGCACCGATATATGGGCCGCCGAAACATATCGGGCGAAAATGGCACTTTTGGCATGATGCTAAAAGTGCAATTTTCTGGCCGATACAGCGGTGCATCCATTTTTTCTCTCCTCCACACTGGGCACTGCTCTGTGTCCCAGCACTGAGGAGAGAGACTGTCACAGGTGGCCGATCGGTGTGGGAGGAGAGCACTGTGAGCGACCGACGTCTCTTCTCCCACACTGCTCAGCCTCCTGCCACAGATCAGAGGAGAGCTGTGTGGGCGGAGACAGCCAGCGCTGTCACAGCAGGCTGAGCGAGCGAACAGCTGTCAGGATAGAGAGCGGTACAAACACTCAGTGATCGCTGAGTGTTTGTAAATAATTGAGGACATAGTATGGTTACTATAGCCTCAATTATGAATGAGTGGGAAGTGATCTACATCACCTCTCATCACTCATATTTGTGGTTATAGTAAACACACTATGTCCTCATGTTATGAATGAACAGGAACACCCATAAAGGATTCCTGTTTATTTATAACAGGGGCTGCAGAGAAAGAGATTGAGGACTTTTAGGACCCCGAAGGCCCTAAAAGTAAAGTAAAAAATAAAAACATTTAATAAATAGGAATAAATATAAAAAAAGTGTATAAAAATAATAAATAAATAAATTTTTTAAAAAAATAAACATTTTCGGTTTCGGCTTGACATTTTCTTTTTTATTTTGGTTTCTTTTCGGTTTTGACATTTTTATTTCGGTGCACGAATACTTTTAAGTAGAGAGCACTGTGTGTTACAACACTGACAATGGTATCTTTGCATTTATGTATGGCTCCAAGCTTCTAAATAAATGAGGGACAGAACTCCCACCTTTCAGACTTGTAGCAATGCAATCCCTATACGATGTCTATAGCTTACACCAGATTCATCTGGCAATGGCAATGCTTCATACCCTCTTACAGAAATTGGAGTTTTATCCTGTAACAAAGTACCATGGGTGTCCACCTTCAAAACATAATGAAATCTACCAAGCGTATGTATGCTTTAACAGAGTAGAGCTAACATTGTAGCCTGTGGTTTTGATTTAGGCTAAAATTGGAACAAAACCAACATCAGATGATAAACTGAAAGCACTGTCCTCCACTTTCAGTTCTTTGGGGTTTTTTTCATTATAATACCGTGTCTTGAAATGAACCCCCATGAGAGCACTATACTGTACTTTCAGTTAATTGTCGGTTCTTTCATTGTAATACTGTGGAGCTGATTTATAAATCTTCCCACCAGGTTATGGTTGGGTGAATGTGGTTTGCAGATGACACTGAAGAGCATAGGAATTTCTTGTGCTCTTTGGCTTTATCTCGTGACAGTAATGCCATGCAAACGACATTCACCTAACTATATGCTGGGCCGGAAGATTTATAAATCAGCCCCTATGACTTTAAATGAATCCTAATGAGAACACTATACTGAACTCTCAGTTCTTTCTTGCTTCTTTCATTGTAATACTTTGTTCTTTAAAATAAACTTTGACTTTAGGTTTGTTGGTTTGCCTTGCAGCTAACTTTTTCGAAGATTTGTTTTATAACCTCAACTACAAGAAATATGAAATTACACAGCTCTTTACAGAGTTGCACATTCACATCAGTCCCTGCCCTCAAGGAGCTTACAATCTAAGGACCCTATCTTACTATCTTACATGCATACATACAGGGACAATTCAGACAGGAGCCAGTTAACCTACCAGCATGTCTTTGGAGTTTGGGAGGAAACCGGAGTACCCGGAGGAGACCCACACAAGCATGCAAAGTCTTTGCAGATAGTGCCTTGACTGGGATTTGAACCTTTCTTAAAGGAGAACTATGGGGTCAGTGTTTTTCCCCATAGTTCTCCTTGGGGTAACGGGAGGACACAAACTAGCGTCCTCCTGTTACCCTAAGCTCAGTATACAGCGAGCAACAGCTCGCGGTATACTGAGACGCCGCACCTGGAGCGGATCCCGACTTAGATGACGGGATCCGCCCAGCTGCGTGAGTGACAGCTGGCTCTGCCTATCTAGAGGCAGAGCCAGCTTTACCCGCCCCCTCCCCCGTCCGTTCCGCCTGTCAGCACTGGCAGATCGGAGCGGGGAGAGGGGAATCCAGCCCCTCCCCCTGTCACGGCAGAGAGCTGTGACAGGATCAAGAGGTGAGGGAACCCGGTATGTGTTCCCTCACCTCCCGATCTACTGAGCCGACCTGTGACAGTCTCATTGTCACAGGTCGGCTTAGAACTATGAGGTGAGTGGAAATCACTCATCTCATAGTTCTCCTTTAAGATTTGCAGTATATCACTGGAAAATTGTTCACTTTTAAGTCCCCACAAAATACAAGAGGGCAATCTTTATGATAAAGGAGTACAGCATTTGTACTTTGAAGTAAATTTCCACTTAGTTTTATTTTTTTCCTTGTACGTGATTCTTTGCAAAATGAATTATCACAACAATTACCGTATTTTTCGCTCCATAAGGCTTTCTCATTGATGACTAGGTAGATGGGGATGAGGCCACCCTCATTTCCTTGTACCTTCAGCTGCCATTATCTTTAGAGTTACTGATCGTTTTGACGCATCTTTGTCACTGCTTATTCACTGCATCGTCATATGAAATGCCTGTGGCAAGTCTACTGGTAGGTTTATGATAAGTGTACTGTTACTGTAAATGACCTTTCTGAAATGGAGTTAAGACAATCCAAAGAGAGTAGAGTCCATAGTAAATTTAAAAAAGTCACAAGGATTATCAAAAGGGAAAGTTTATGAGGAAACCATTACAGCCCAAGCCAAGGGAATACCCCTTGACCTTTGTTAACAATGTTTTTGCCTCCATGTTTCTGTTCCTTAGCGTCGTCTCCATACAAGACGGACTCTGTCAATGTTCTTTGTAAGTATATATGTGGTAGTATACTCCCTTGCATGTGCACTCACCATGCTTTGCACAATGCACACCAGTTTTCTAGACATCTAGAGCATGGCAGCCACAAATGTTGTGTCGGCTGGTTTCTGTAATCTTCTGACATCTATAACCACTACTTTGCATGTTAAAAAAAACTAAACCAAAAGAAATGCATGCAAAATAAGATACTTCTTAACCCTAACAGAACACTTTTTTCTCTTACAGAAAGTAGGTTGTCATGAAAGGCAGCCATAAATAAGCATGTCATTTTTCCTAGTATTCAGAGTTAGGCCATTGCTGGTTTGTGGGTTTTTTTCTACCTGGTATCCTGTTGTTGGGGTTCTAGTTAACTAATTCTGAACTATCAGTTCTCCATGTATATGCTAGCCATGTATGGCATGGGAGTGATCGACAGCTTTGCTTGCGATTGGATAAGTTGTTTTTTTTCTACCTGGTATCCTGTTGTTGGGGTTCTAGTTAACTCATTCTGAACTATCAGTTCTCCATGTATATGCCAGCCTTCTTAAGGGTACAAACTTTGACTGTGATGTTAGAAACATATGGGGGAAAAAAGGACAGGTCCTCCCCATATCTGCTGGCTCTGCTGTGATCAGGGTCTTCTCTGTAATGCTGGTGGGAGGTAAATGAAACAGATTATCCTTAATGTATTAAGAAGTTGAAATATTTGCCAGTTACCCAAAAAATTGTAAGACTACATAGGGGCAACTAAATGAGTTCATAACAGTAGTGATAGAAGATCATATGACTGCTATGAAGCCTTGAAGCACAGATGCTTCAAGACTGTGCAACGTCTTACAGTTTAATAGAAAATCGCCACAGTCTAAATAGGAAAGTATGTCCCTGTCAGCAAGCTGTAGAGAAAGACCCTTGCTCTCTGTGTGGAAGCAGTGTTCCCTCTGCATAGGTCTGATGTACTCCCCTGCTTAGTCAGACCTATAGCTTTGGAATCATCACAACTTATAATTCTTATGTTCAGTTGGGGTTTAACATTTTGAATTTCCCATTACTTTCTGTCCTGGAAACAATGGTCACCAGTTTAAATAGAGAGGGTGAATCTGCATTGAGAATGACCTTATACTGATTTTGCTTTAGGGCTCTACAACTGATGTATCCCTGCTATGAAACCATTTCAGTATAGATAATTCTTCTGTCACATATTTTTTGGGCGGACAAATTTCAAATTGTAACTGATACTGTATAATTCTGCAGTCTTACTGTTACACCAGATATATGACTACTTTGGGTGAAAGGAGAGCAGCTTTACCAATGAGCACTATTTAGTGGTTTTAGGATTTCCAGTACCATTATAAGTAAGCATGATCTGAGATTTGTTCTATGACTGCTGCAGATGTTCATTCCTTAGCATACATTTGTTTTTAAATCAGTCATTAACTGTTGAATACATATACAGATTTTCATAAGTAGCACCCATATCCAAATCATATTAGCTTAAAAAGCAATGTGATGGTCAGCATATCAGAACTAGGAAAGTTGTCTATTACTTTGCTGCTCTGAGCAATTGGTGGCACAGGTTTTGGTTGCCAGTAGCAGTTGGTGGGAGTAGGTTCAAATATTTATTTTTGGTGTTTAGCTACAGACTAACTTGAATGTACTTGAGTTTGCATGTGCATGTAAGGTATGTTTGCTTACCATGTGATTGTGTATTACTACTTGCATTAACTGAAAAAAAAAACTACCAGGTTTCTCTCTATGTTCTGTTATGTTAGACTGCATAGACCACGGGGTTAGTGGAACTCAGCTGTAAAAATATAGAATGTTCATTGAACATCACAGTGAACACACCTGCCACTGTATTGGTGTATATCATATGGAGGAGATCTATCATTCACAGTGCTGACCCTGTCCCAAATACCTTGCTGTATCCAGCCATGCAGTGTTCAATGGGCAGTTCAGTAAATCCAAGTTCTTGTGGCAAGTAAATGCCATTCACTCTTTAGGGAAAAACATTCTTTATGTGAACCTGTCATTTTCCAATGCAGAACAGGGACAGACTCCTTAGTGGCACATACTCACTTTTCCTGAGCTCTCTGGAACCACTGAGATAAAAAAAGGAAGCCCTCTGTAAGTTTGTAATTGCCCCTGTAAGAGCTTAAACAGTGTGGGGAACTCTCACTGTCCTCGGAGAGCTGGGTCAATCAAGAAGAACCAGCAATGTCATACGAAGTGAGTCACATACTTCTCAATACCCAAACGTATCAGGTATTTCCTTCACGTCATTAAAGCAAACTGGTTGCTTTGCTCTGCATGAGTAAAGCACAGGTTTTCTTTACAGCTGTTGTGGTTATAGGGAAAGTATTATGTTGTTTTCTGACAGGTTTTGTATTGTTTTAGCCTATGAAGATGCATCAAGATTCTCTAGAAGAGCTTCAGGAAATCCAAGATGATGAGCATGAGCCTGTGTATGAAGAAGTAGGAAATTTTCACTGCATACTATCAACAGAACGAGTCCATCTGCCTCTCCTCCTGGACCGGACAAAAAAGCCTGTATTAAACTCAAATCAAAACCAGATAAAGGCGACTACATCGCTCCCAACAAAACCCAGTTCCCCAGAGAGGACCGACAGAGAGCATTATAACAAGACTCATTCTCTAGACAGAAACATCTGTGTAGAAAATTTGAAGACTTTCCCAAGTGATAGCAATAAATCAGTCATGGCAGACAGAGGTGCCGGTCCTAGCATCACAAAATCAAATTCCCTAGAAAGGCAGGTGGAGCCAAATCGAACTCCACTAGGTACTACAAGAACACAGGGTGGAAAAAGCACACTCGACCTGAGCACATTACCACTGTTTTTTGAGCCAACAGCCCCTTCAGACTCACCAAAGGTTCCGGTGTGGAAGAAAACCTTGCCTCTTGCTATGAATATGCAAGATAAGCTGGTCCAGGAGCTCAACTCCATGCTTAATAAGAAAAATGAAACTGGCTCAGGAGCAGGTCAGCAAGTGACGTGACCTAGTATGTCCCTATCCTATGAATTATCTTCAGTCTTGAACTCTGGCATGGCACTCTGTTGTATATTGATTTGAAATATGAACGTGAGTCCAGATGAAAACTGTAACCATGAGCTAACATGGCACTATGAAGTCATTGGCTTTTAGCTTTGATATGTCCTAAATGTAAACTAAATATTCTTTGTACAAAGATATTCATCTTTAGATCAGTACCATGCTTCAGCACATTGCTACTCAATATCCATTCCCATTATTGTATAAAGTCAATGATGTGTTAAAACTATTTAATTCTTGTGACTATTAAGTTATATATATTTTATTAAGGTAAAGTTGCCGGAATAATAGTTATGCCATTTGGATGTTTGTCTTTTTTTATGTCTGATTACACAACAAGTTAAAGTCTGATTACACAGCAATGCCATTCAAGGCTTACAATTACTCTCCCCAACTATACATCCATGTTTGACAATATGGGGGCTATTTATTAATGTTTTCGTCCTAGAATTACATAATTTCCACCATGTTCACATATGACTCATTAAAAAAAAAAAAAGGTGAATCTTGGGTAAAAACATTGATGAATAGTCAAGTAGCGTTCTAAACAAAAGTGATTTCCACCAAAACGGTTTTAAAATGAGGTAAGGTTGCAAGTCCAAATGTAATCAAATATGTTTGTGATGGAACTTTTGCTTATTTTAATTAAAAACATTTAAATATGCTATCCGTCGTTTTTTATTATTATTTTTATAGATGTTAATTAATTTGTTAGTTGATTATGTGCGACAAACAATTGCAAAGTAAAATTTATGAAAACACTATACTTTTATTTTTATGGAGTTAAGAATTTGTAGGTTTCTGTAATGGTCACCAAGGGTTGATAATTCTTATGACCTCTAAATATTTACATACTGTATATACCCATTACTGTTATAAAAGCCTCTCTCATATTAATGCATTTAAGAATTATGTAATTTACTGAACATTTAACACTTTTTTATAGTATATTGTAATGTCAAGTATACACAATCAAACATACAGAACAGTCCATCCCACATGAATAGCCCTTAGAATTGCAGACACATGGCCAGTGATATCCTGCTCAGACTTCTTCCACTCAGGGCAGTGTCTACTGGCACTGAAGATGATAGGAGGGGTGCAGCAGTATGCTCTTAAATTGTAGGTGATGTTGGCACTGTTTCCCAGCTTATAACATCTCTAGGATGGTGTGATGATAGAAATGGGGAGGCACAGATCAGATGGCTGACAATGTTGCTGAAAATATCGCAGTGGTATCATATTGTTCCTGGCCCTACACAGGGTAATGAAGGCTTCATAGTAGCACCGGCATGATCAACCGGTAACAACTGGGGACACAAGGGAAGATTGGAAAACAAATGAGGGGAATTTATCAAAACTGGAGCAGACAAAATCTGGAGCAGCTGTGCATGACAACCATTCAGCATCCACCTTTCATTTTCAAAGCTTAACCAAACAAACTGAAGAGAGAAGCTGAATGGTTGCCATGGACAACTGCTCCAGATTTAGTCTGCTCCATTTTTTGACAAATTCCCCCCAATGTGTATTTAGGCAGATTTTTCATTTTAACTGGAATTTCACTTTAAGCCCAACTCTGGATGTGGCTGCTTTCTAAAGAAAATGAACTGTAAGACCTCAAACACATTTTTGTTTTGATGCACCTAAAATATATTTAGTTGATTTAAACTGAAATTTCAGTTGGCCTTTGACATGGATATAAGACCACGGTTTGATCTACAAAAAATCCAGGCCTGCCTACTCTAATCAACCAAACAGGAAATATTTGCCTAAAGTGACATTAAAGTCAAAAATCTTTTTCCCTCCCCCCAATGTTAATGTCAGCACTTACCTTAACCTCCCTGGTGGTATTCCCGAGTCTGGCTCGGGGTGAATTTTCAATGAAACACCGTCCATAGACGTACCTTGTGTTTCTCCTCGCGTCCCAGGCGAGAATGTGAACTGCGCATGCGCCCGCCCCAAAATGCTTTGCGGCCGCCCGAGAATTTTCAAATTTTCGGACGGGAGTGCGCGGGGAAGACACAGGTAAGTATTAACCCTTTTCAAATCGTTCTTTTTTTTTTACACTTTTTGCATATATCTACTGCTTACCAGCAGTAGATATATGCAGAAACACCCGAGGCTTTAATTATCCTTTAATGAGTGCGGGAATAACGAACACCAATGATGTGCAATAATCAGTAAACAATACAGCTAATCTGATCTCAGTTTTCTGTTGTCAGATTGGTTACAAAATGATTTCCTTTTTACAGAAGAGCCGTGACAGGATTGAGAAGTGAGCGAACGCCGGTATGTGTTCGAACACTTCCCGATCTACTGAGCCGACCTGTGACAGTCTCATTGTCACAGGTCGGCTAGAACTATGAGGTGAGTGAAAAGCACTCACCTCATAGTTCTCCTTTAACAGAGGTGACGCTCTGGGATTTGTGACTGCATTAGGTATAGACCTATAAATACATTAAAATATATGACAGAATAAATAAAAACTATACAAACGATATGAGTGGAAAATATTGGCCGCGGCCCTTTATTGGGGTTAAAAGCAAAATATAAATTCTTTATTTAAATTCAACAACACTAATATATAAACGAATTAACTTTTAACCCCTTCGTGACTGACGACGTACAGTGTACGTCGCCAGCATCGGGGCTGTTTAAACAGACTAAAAACAGACAGAATGGGAAACCAGAAACAGCCCAACGGAAAATTCCAGAAGACTGTACCTTATCGTGACTAAAACTATTGTTGGATTAAAATAATAATTTAATTGAATTAAGTGGGTGCAGGGGATGACACAATCCCATGGGGCCACTTCATTATATTTGTGGCCCTGACAGTCTGTGGCAGAAGTTCAGAGGGCAATAAATCTAAGCTGCTAAAAAAGATAAGCAAATGTTCCTTACTGCACAGAAGTGGATCTGTGACTAGAGGATCCTGATGTCTGACTTCAGCTCTATGTCAGCATTACTCGTGATCTTCCTACAACTTTAACTAAAGAGGAAGTTATGTCTAGACTTAATGCAAACTGTAAACCATAAGATGTGCCATTATAAAGCAGAGCATGATTTTTTCCAGTTAATAAGACTAAATCACTTTGCTTACATTATATCAATAAAGGGGGATTTTCTTGTTACTCATCAGGACTCACAAAGTGGCTTGGATAAACTATGAAACATTGTCCACATTACAGAACAAATCCAGTTGAATGTGACTAACTACTACTTGCTAAACTATGGTCAGTTCCTGTCAGTATTCAGCCTTTTCACACAGCAGCAGGCTTCCACATCAGAGAGAGTAAGAAAAACATACCTGAGCTCACATGTTTTAATGTGTGTGGACAGTGGATAATGAGCTCTGGCTACCAGGTAAGCTGTGGTCTTAGGAATGGAGGCTTTATCCCACAAAAAGCTCTACAAAGCCCCATGGATCCAGGACCCAAAAGAGCTTAGAATTAAGATATGAGGAAAAATGTTTTGTTTTTCTCCATATTAACCATAAACCCTGGAGCCCCTATTATGTATATGATAGAAACCTATGTGATACATACACACCATCCACAAGCCTGGCGGTCAGTGCCTCACAATACCAACATTTCCATATAAATATCAGAGACATGGCAGGTTACACTCAGTTCTGCCGAAGCCGCTTCAAGCTATTAAAGTTACACTTTAAAGACACCCTGGGGGGAATTTACTAAGACTGGAGCATACAGAATCTGGAACAGTTGTGCATGGCAACCAATCAGCTTCTAGCTAGAGATAGGAGTTGACTGGTTGCCATACACAGCTGCTCCAGATTCTGTGGGGGAATTAATCGAAACTGGAGCAGGCAAAATCTGGAGCCGATTTGCACTGCAACCAATCAGCTTCTCTGTCTCATTTCCAGATCTTACCTGAGCAAACTAAAGTAAAATGCTGATTGGTTGCCATGGGCAATTGCTCCAGATTCTGTCTGTTGCACTTTTGCTAAATTCCCCCCACTGTGTGCTCCCGCTTTAATAAATCCTCCTTCCCTCCATCACCAATTTCAAAAACTAGGTAAATGCATAGAGGACATACAGTATGTGACAAGATGGAGTTTCTCTTTGATGTATTGCAAAACTGCACCTATTAAAAAAGGGGAGCCCACCTTTCACGGTATGATTTTTTTCTGCAGCTCTCTGACATGCCAGCAACAAGACTTTTTTAATGAATTTTATTTATTTTTTCAGCTGGAGTGCAGAAAATAGTCAACCAAGCATGCTGAAAAGCAGTGTATAAAGTGCTATAATTAACAACAACCATATGCATACCTCAAAACTTTCTAAATATAACACAATGTACGCAAAGGACACACCTCCAGTTCTGTCAGCCGTGAAGAATAAATCACCACTGCTTTTCCCTTATCTTAGCTTTTAAAAATAGCAAAAACAATAATATAGAAGTGTAGTGCAGGCTTTCAACCAGGGTTCTGAAGCACATAGTCATGCATTTCCATGGTGCAGGTGAAACAATCACCATCACAATGGAAATGCATGACGTTAATCCAGGGTGGGCAGTGTCCAGGACCACCCCCAGCATTTAGCTGCACTGTTGTGAAGATTATAGGGTAGGACTCTGAGATGAAGGAGGGACTGAGGGCTCTGATGTGAAGCTGGGGTCTTCTGATAGGAAGGCGGGAATTCCTTTACATTTTCCTTTTTTGTATTTTTTTTTATGGGGTCCCTCTTAAAATCTATACCAGACGGGGGGCGTGGCTGGAGCTGGATGGCAGCAAGTCTCAGAGGCTCTGAGCAACAGCTGTCCAAGAGGCACGTCTAACCAGCATTTAGGGCCAGATTTCCTCCCTACCATCTCCCCTCACGAGCACTACGGAGGCAGAGATGAGTAAGAAACGGCGGGGAGCCACACGCCTGAAGAAACTAAGGGACTTCTTGCTCGGCCCGGACAAACGGCGGATCCAAGATGACGACGGGACCTCACCCCTCTCGTCGCCCGGGGGTCGAGAGGTGGCTCGAGGAGCTCCCAGGCAGGTCCTCCATCTCATGTCCGGCACCGGGGACAACCCTCTGCCGTTACCAAACAGCCTGACTCACCTACCGCTTGCAGCGCGGTAAAATCTAGGCCGCGAATGGCTCCTTCTCCAGAGGCCCAAGATGGCGCCGGGACCTCGCCTCATCGTCCGGGGATTCGAGCAGCGGCAGGGGATCCCAGGTCAGCCTCTCCTCTCACACTTGACATCAGGAGAAGCCCTCTGCCACTTCCAGCCGGCCTGCCTCTCCTACCAGCCGCAGTCCTGTGAAATCTAGACCGTGGATGGCTCCTTCTC